GATGTGAGGTGTAGGCAATATGAGGTGTAGGTGATATGAGGTGTAGGTGATATGAGGTGTAGGCGATATGAGGTGCAGGTGATATGAGGTGTAGGCGATATGAGGTGTAGGCGATATGAGGTGTAGGTGATATGAGGTGTAGGCAATATGAGGTGTAGGCGATATGAGGTGTAGGTGATATGAGGTGTAGGCGATATGAGGTGTAGGCGATATGAGGTGTAGGCGATATGAGGTGTGAGGCGATATGAGGTGCAAGGTGATATGAGGTGTAGGCGATATGAGGTGTAGGTGATATGAGGTGTAGGTGATGTGAGGTGTAGGCAATATGAGGCGTAGGTGATATGAGGTGTAGGTGATATGAGGTGTAGGCGATATGAGGTGCAGGTGATATGAGGTGTAGGCGATATGAGGTGTAGGCGATATGAGGTGTAGGTGATATGAGGTGTAGGCGATATGAGGTGTAGGTGATATGAGGTGTAGGTGATATGAGGTGTAGGCGATATGAGGTGCAGGTGATATGAGGTGTAGGCGATATGAGGTGTAGGCGATATGAGGTGTAGGTGATATGAGGTGTAGGCGATATGAGGTGTAGGTGATATGAGGTGTAGGTGATATGAGGTGTAGGTGATATGAGGTGTAGGCGATATGAGGTGTAGGTGATATGAGGTGTAGGTGATATGAGGTGTAGGCGATATGAGGTGTAGGTGAGTAGGCAATAGGAGGACAAGCCATATGGCGGCGGTCTGTATATATTTGAGTCTGGACCAGGCAATCCAGAGAAAGGGAGAGCTTTTGAAACAAATGGAATTGATAGCATAATGATTCTCATAAATTCAAACAAAATGTGCTGTCTCGGAAGGAATCAGGTTTAATCATGTCAACATATTTTACATTTTTACACAACTACGCAACATGACAAACTCAGCGAGAAACTCCTTGACTAGCAGGCCTGACTAACAAAGATATAGTTCACCTCTATATGTTCGGCGGTTAGGACAATTTGTCACGAATGAAAGCAACATTTCATTGCCTTCTAAAACATATGAAATGGTGAACGTTTTTAAAGATAACATGACATGACCAAATGTTTGTGAGTGAGTGAGTATAGTTTTACGCCGCTCCTAGCATTATTCCAGCAACATCACGGCTGGGGACACCACGGGCTTCACATATTGTACCCATGTGGGGAATCGAACCCGGATATTCTGCGTGGCAAGCCAAAGCTTTAACCACTAGGCTACCTCACTGCCATCAAAAACGTTTGTGTGAAATTTGGGAGCGAGACGTTGACAAGTTGGCACCAGCTGTCCACACTCCTTGGCCATATATTTTTATGCATAGGCTAGGCAGCACGAAGACTGGGGAAGTCAAAACATGTGGATATGTCCAGGAGGTTTAGCTGGAGCTTCAGGTATGTATCCAATAGCCCTAGACTGATCTGCCCACCTGAACTGAAAGGAAACAGTGAAACCGCCACTTCCGGTTCATACTGAAACCTCCGAACCAAAATTCAGAGAGACTCAATTCTCGGGGAATCTTGGGATTGACTTGAACATTGCCTTATGTTGAGATATATAGACGTACAATCAAGTTTGCTCTTTCTATCAAGATTCTGGAGACTCTGGCTCAATTCTTAGGGGTCTTTGGGAGCTTCAACATTGCTTGTTGAGATCCATGTTAAATCAAGATTGCCTTTCTATCATGGTCAATGGTTACCATGGTCAATGGTACTCAAATGATACATATGTGGACGATATTTCCAAATTTGATGCATCAGTGACAAAACTGATGTATGACACAGTTCGCTATCTTGACGTTACCAGAGGATACCGTGTTTGTCCTGCATCCTTTCATCCAGTTAATGGTGTGGGGTTGTGTTTCGTAGGACTGCAAACTGGATGTCATTACAGTACCTGGGGCACTCAATCTTCAGCCTTACCAACAGGACGTACTGGATACCGTCGTCGTACCACATTTTGATAACCATCTCCTCGCCATGAAGTCGTCCGATATACGTTCTCGAGCCCATTTGCAGAACAACGCCACTGAAACATTACCATGGTAACCGATATGAATCCCAAGCTTTGGGACCTAGTGATCCTCCTGCTCAGAACCGCAGGAATTGTCGCAGACACTATATATGAGACATGGCAGAGGATTCCAATGATGAGAATTCGACCCTTGGTGGTTGCTTTGTTGTTTAACGCAGCACTCAGCAATATTCCAGCTATATGGCATCAGTCTGTAAATAATCTAGTCTGGACCAGACAATACAGTGATCAATGTCATGAGCATCGATCTATGCAATTTGGATACGACAGCGTGTGTCAACCAAGTCAGCGAGCCTGACCACTTGATCCCGTTAGTCGCCTCTCATGACAAACACGGGTTGCTGAAGACCAATTCTGACCCAGATATTCTCGGGTCTCGACGCTTGATTGCCAGCATGAGGAGACAAATGGAGATAATGAAGTGGTCGCCAGTGGTGGTTCATACAATCACAACAATCATTATTTGTATCTGTGTGACAATGAGGTTTGTGGCGTTGTCATGGTGACAATAATTTCCAACATTTTAATATTCACCCTTTTATGTTTTCATCTCAGATTGCCAATAAATTGTTACAAAATTTTAATTTCAGTTTGTTTTTATTTAACCAGAGTAAAATATGTTAGATTTACGATTTTGATCTGTGTCTTGAAATATGGGTGAATTTATTGAGCGAGAGATCTGTGTCTTGAAATATGGGGGACTTTACTGAGCGAGAGATCTGTGTCTTGAAATATGGGGGACTTTACTGAGAGAGAGATCTGCGTCTTGAAATATGGGTGAATTTACTGAGTGAGAGATCTGTGTCTTGAAATATGGGTGAATTTACTGAGCGAGAGATCTGTGTCTTGAAATATGGGTGAATTTACTGAGCGAGAGATCTGTGTCTTGAAATATGGGGGACTTTACTGAGCGAGTGATCTGTGTCTTGAAATAACGGGGGACTTTAATGAGCGAGAGGATCTGTGTCTTGAAATAACGGGGGACTTTAATGAGCGAGAGGATCTGTGTCTTGAAATACCGGGGGACTTTAATGAGTGAAAGATCTGTGTCTTGAAAATACGGGGGACCTTACTCAGCGAGAGACCTGTGTCAAGAACATTCTGATGCTATTACTGGTAGAGATCTGTCAGTATTCAGATGACTTTCCTGGTCGAGATATGTGTCTGGAAAATACAGGAGACTTTAGTGAGTGGGGCATTACTGTAGAAATCTGTCCCTAAATGTCCATATATGGAATCTGGGACTGACCATTCCTTATTCTGGGGATGGCCTGGGACCGTGTGTGTAGACTACCCATTTATCCACTACAGATACAAAACCAAATATTTTTGTAGTTTAAACTGTGAGCCTAAATATATTTTGGAAAATAATATCTTGTAACAAAATGGCTTTTGTATGACAGTTATTTTTTAGCTAATTATTTTTGTCAAGCATTTTCTAGGATAATTATCTTTTCGATGAAATCTGAAGCTTTCCTGTCTCCCAGAATACCAAATGGTCAGTTCCTTACAGGTAGAAATTTTATAATAAAATCTGGTGATTCAGGGAGTAAGTATGGTTTTACACCGCTTTTAGAAACATCCAGCAATATCACATCTGGGACAACAGGAATGGTTCTCACACATTGTTCTTTTGTGAGGAATTGAACCTGGTCTCCAGCATGACGAGCGAACACTTTACCCACAAGCCCATTGCTCCAGTTTCCAGACTGACTGACTGAGTTTGGTTTTACCCCGCTTTAGCAATATTCTAGCAACATCACGGCGGGGGACTCCAGAAATGGGCTTCACACATTGTACCCATGTGGGGATTCGAACCCGGGTTTTCCGCGTGACGAGCCAACGCTTTAACCACTAGGCTACCCCACCGCCCCCCAGTTTCAAGAACAGTTACAATAATACTGGCACTGATCTGTCAGTTTTCAGAACATTCAAATTACTGAAACTAAATACAATAACTAAAATGACATTTCACTTTGATTAATTTATTTGGATCCTGATAATGTGACATAACAGTAACAAGTATTTGTAACAAGTATTTGTTTTGTTTGGTTCTGGTGGAGGACAATATGACAGCAGTATGTAACAGACAGTATGTAACAAACAGTCCACAGTGTACAGACAGTATGTACAGACAGTAACAGACACAGTGTAACAGACAGTATGTAACAGACAGTATGTAACAAACAGTCCACAGTTAGAGTACAATGATATTCCAGCACTTAAGTTATTCAGTCCGCTAATCTGTTCCATATGTCACTTTGAATCCCCAGCTTGGATTGCTGGAGATCAATTCTAATGAGTGAGTGAGTTTGGTTTTATGCTGCTTTTAGCAATATTTCAGCAATATTACAGCAGGGGACACCAAAAATGGTCTTCACACATTGTACCCGTGTGGGGAATCAAACCTGGGTCTTCAGCTTGACAAGCGGACACTTTGACCACTGGGCTACCCCACCACCCCTAATTGTAAAGCAGATAATGTTGAATGAGCATTATTCCAGCCATGGCATATTTGTTTGTTCATTAATTTGTTTGTTGTTTGTTTGTTTGCTGCTTGACTCCACACCCAGCAATATTCCAGCTATATGGCAGTGGTCTGTAAATAATCAAGTCTAGACCAGACAATCCAGTGATCTGACATCATGAGACAATCCAAGTTGATAAAGATCATGCATAATCCAATCCAGTAATGAGTTGAGATACAATGACGTTTCAGTCAAGCAATATTTGACCAATCTAATACCAGAATGGCTTACAGATCTCTTTATGTTGGGAATCAAACTGTAATCAGCTGGTATTTGAGATGAGCTTTGAAGTGAACTCTTCATCATGTAATCATGGGGTATTTGGGATGAGCTGAAGTGATGTCTTCATCATATAATCATGTGTAAACATCATAATCATCGAGCTGAATACAATATCTTCAGTCATGTCAGCATACTGGGTATTTGAGATGAGCTGAAGTGATCTCTTCATCATGTAATCATGGGTATTTGAGATGAGCTGAAGTGATCTCTTCATCATGTAATCATGGGTATTTGGGATGAGCTGAAGTGATGTCTTCATCATGTAATCATGGGTATTTGAGATGAGCTGAAGTGATATCTTCATCATGTAATCCTGGTTATTTGGGATGAGCTGAAGTGATCTCTTCATCATGTAATCATGGGTATTTGAGAAAAGCTGAAGTCATCTCTTCATCATGTAATCATGGGTATTTGAGACTGAAGCTGGGTCCCCCTGAAGCTGGAGCATCCAGGGCAGGAGTGGAGTGTCTCGTGGATGAACAGGTCACAGTCAAGACAAAACAACTGGCAGCAGCTCTCACAGGTATACACCTGGAAAAGGAAGTGTGGCAGTAAGCGAATGTGGTCACATTATAACAGGAACTTATATCACCAGGGGTAAAACAAGTTTGTATAAGTTAATGATATTTGCTGATGTAGGGATCATAAATATTCTGGGGACAAATCTTGAAGTAAAGACTGATCACAATATTTCATAAAGGCATATCCAAAACTATTATTCAAATTACATTTGGGACGATCAATTTGAGCAAATTTGACCACATATTGGATATTGTGTTATAGATATTGCTAACACCTTGCAACAAGGAAATACTCATAAATTTTCAGGTAACTATTTCTTGTGATAATGATATGTTTTGTTTATTGTCTAACGGCACACTCAGCAATATTCCAGCTATATGGCAGCAGTCTGTAACTAATCAAGTCTGGACCAGACAATCCAGTGATTGACATCATGAGCACTGATCTACACAATTGGGCTACAATGACAAGCATCAACAAGGTCAGCGAGTCTGACCACCCGATCTCAGTGTTATCCTGGAAAAGCAGCACTCACATGTTGTTCTGTGATTTGGACTTGACAAGAATAGCACCTGAAACAAGAGTAAACAATGTCAAATGTCTTGTCATCCATAAATCATCTAACATACATAATATTTCACCCACATACTGAAAAACGAAAGTTACCAACTTGCGAACACTCGATGGTCTAACAATGATTGGTGTTTGTACAGAGACATCCTGGGTCTAAGCACAGTGAGTATGGTTTTACGCCGCTTTTAGCAATATTCCAGCAATAACACAGCAGGGGACATCAGAAATGGACTTCACACATTGTACCCATGTGGGGATTCGAACATGGGTCTTTGGCATGATGAGCAAACACTTTAACCACTAGGCTACCCCACTGCCCTGTCTAATCACAGAGTATGGACAGAGTAATAATGGTTTTAGCATTCTTAGTTCAAGCATTTATTCTCCAGGGTTCTTGATTTCCCTTGTTATTAGATTTCCTCAGTAAATTGCCATGATCTAAACTTCACAATTAAACTAAACTTTCTGAACCAATCCAATGATGGATATCATGAGGAATAATGTACACAATTATATCAAACAAAATGAAAACCAAACACATCTACAGGGCCATAACATGACTTGTGAAATGTTTCCATTATAATTCCAGTTTGGGTGATTCTCAAGGATATTTACGGAAGGCTTGATGTCAAGCATCAGCATCCCAGTAGGTGGAGATAAATCACTCAGAGAAGCTTCAGAACAGCTCTCCAAACAGGACTACTGAGGTCAAGTTCATTAGAGCATTTCCCAAAGAAAGTTTGGCAGACCATAAACTCCAGTCCTTGATAGAGATAATCTCCAGGGTAAGCTTCTTACCCTGGATGCATCCATGGCTTTTAAGAACCCTTGGCTCTTTTTTATCCAAACAGGACTACTGGGAAGTTGAGCCGCATACTCACAACTCACTTCATTATCTAACCGAGCAACATAGTTTGTTTCAAAGGTGTTCTTTAATATTTTTTTAAAGTTTCATTTGGAATTTGTCATATTTTCCCCAAATATCTGAGTGGCACCATAAAAACTCCAGTCCTCTTTGTTGACACTGGCAAGCTTGGTTGTAAGTTTGTTGTGATTGTTTGTGAGAATCGTAATAAAATCATATAGGATTAGTGTTATGTCAGTTTGCATTTATATCCATAAATATTATATCTTTATATCCAATTTATATCTTTTCCAATGACACTTCTAGAGATGTACCAAAATCGTGCATATGTTTTTGAATATTTTATTTTGATTTTAAACTAAAACACAAACAAAAAAGTAGCTAAAATTCCTGTAAACAAACAACACGTAGTAAAGCTGTCTGAGACTGGAGATAATGAAACACGACTATCAACCATGCACACTGACTTTGGATTGGCTGACAAGTCTGAGACTGGAGTTTCCTTGAATGGTGGCAGCGGAAACAGGTGATGGTAGGACCGGGCGAGGTGGGGAGCGGACACCAGCGTCAAACCTGGCAACAGAAATATACTGTACAACCAACAATATTCGGAAAATCCTGAGTGAAAGATTTTGTTTTTCTCCGTTTCAGAAAAACATTGACACCTAAAACTCGCAAGTGTCAGGCAAAATGTATCCATTTTGAAAGTGTATTAATATTGTTCTCAGTGAAACACTGTCCACCATTTTGATGACTCAACTATTCATATCCATGTTGACATTTACGAGACAGAGGTAGTACCTACCAGAAGAATTATACTCTCCGGGCAGCGCACAGTGATTGCTCTCACAGAACAGAAATTGTACAAGCCCAAAGTGTCTGATGAAATCTCTTGTTATATCTGAGGTTTGTTTCTTGACGGTTCTCACTTACCACAAGCCTTACCTTGTGCAAAGCCCAGAGTAACTGCTCCCACAGAACAGAAATTGTATGAACCCAAAGAGTCTGAAATATATTTCTTATATCTGTGGTTTGTATTTTGATGGCTGGCACTTACCGCAGGCCTTGCACTCTATAGGAAGCTCACAGTACTTGCTTTTACACTGGGGACAGAAGTAACCACTGTTACTGAAACCTTGGCTCCCAGACTTTCCATCAGCATGGCTGGAAACAAATCAGTACTGGCATTATTCTCTTATTTCCATCAATTTAACACTGCAGAGGAATTTAATAAACCAGGATTGGCTTAAAAAGTCAGTCATGCAGTATAACATGGTGGCTATCTTAATTATTTTTGACATTTCTAAAATCACAAAAATAAAAGTAAAGATTAGAAAAAAAAAGTGTTTGCTTCCTGTTTTCTGGGATCACTGTTTCGTAAAGATCCTAATCTGAGTTATAAACCCGGATTCTGGTTAGACTAAGGGACATAACTCTGTATTGTATGTATTTTGTTAGTTTATTGCTTAGTAGAACACTAACAGAACAGCTGATTGAAGGTAATGAAGTATGACACAGACAATCCAGTAGTGATGTGAACAATGATCTGTACAGACATGCTTTGTTTGTCATTTAACGACAGACTCAGCAATTTTCCAGCTATATGATGCATTCTGCAAATAATAAAGTCTGGACTAGACAATCCAATGTCTACATCATGAGTCAACCAAGTCAATGAGTCTGGTCACTCTTATGACAATAATGGGATGCTGAAGGCCAATTCTGGCTGGAATCTTCAGGGGATTTGGCCCCGAGTGACACCTGACCGCGTGGGTATCTGTACCACTGACAGCGCTGCCTACTCACCACATGCACATGGACGGCTTTTCCTCCCTGTCTCGGTCTGCGTTCAGTGTGTGGTGGGGGAAGCCTGTAACAGCAATACTCAGTCTCAGTCTCAGGGTCAGGGTCAGGGTCAGGGTCAGGGTCAGGGTCAGTCTCAAGGTCATCAGTGTCAGGGTCAGGGTCAGGGTCAGGGTCAGGGTCAGGGTCAGGGTCAGGGTCAGGGTCAGGGTCAGGGTCAGGGTCAGGGTCAGGGTCAGGGTCAGGGTCAGGGTCAGGGTCAGGGTCAGGTCAGGGTCAGGGTCAGGGTCAGGGTCAGGGTCAGGGTCAGGGTCAGGGTCAGGGTCAGGGTCAGGGTCAGGGTCAGGGTCAGGGTCTGGGGTCAGGTCAGGGTCAGGTCAGGGTCAGGGTCAGGGTCAGGGTCAGGGTCAGGGTCAGGGTCAGGGTCAGTGTCAGGGTCAGTCTCAGGCTCAGGGTCATCTGTGTCAGGGTCAGGGTCATCTGTGTCAGGGTCATCTGTGTCAGGGTCAGTCTCAAAGGTCATCTGTGTCAGGGTCATCTGTGTCAGGGTCAGGGTCATCTGTGTCAGGGTCAGTCTTAGGGTCATCTGTGTGAGGTCAGTCTCAGGGTCATCTGTGTCAGGCTCAGGGTCATCTGTGTCAGGCTCAGGGTCATCTGTGTCAGGGTCAGTCTCAGGGTCGGCTCAGGGTCATCTGTGTCAGGGTCAGTCTCAGGGTCATCTGTGTCAGGCTCAGGGTCATCTGTGTCAGGGTCAGTCTCAGGGTCATCAGTGTCAGGGTCAGGGTCATCTGTGTCAGGGTCAGGGTCAGTCTCAGGGTCATCTGTGTCAGGGGTCAGTCTCAGGGTCATCTGTCAGGCTCAGTCAGGGTCAGGGTGTCAGGCTCAGTGTCAGGGTCAGGGGTCAGTCTCAGGGTCATCTGTGTCTCAGGGTCATCAGTCTCAGGGTCATCTGTGTCAGGGTCATCAGTGTCAGGGTCAGTCTCAGGGTCATCTGTGTCAGGCTCAGGGTCATCTGTCTCAGGGTCATCTGGGTCAGGGTCAGTCTCAGGGTCATCAGCATTTAGAGTGTGGTTGGGAAGCCTGTAACATCAACACTCAGTCTCAGTGTCAGGGTCAGTCTCATCAGTGTCAATGTCAAGGTCATGTGAAGTGAGCAGTAGGACAAAGAACATGTCTATATATGGTGAATAATTTGGCTATAAGTAACACACTGATATTTCACACAGTATTTTGTTGGTTGATGATGATGATGAAAATAACCTCACTTTCATTTCCTACCTCCTCAATAAACTATCTATCTCACTGTGAACAATCTCTTATGTTTCTATCTATCAAAATTTTACTCACCCATTCTGATCAAAGAAGATTCTGTATTAGACTGAAACAAACCAGCAAACAACAACATAAGGAAACTTCCAAGCATTACAATTGGCATAAAGTACAGCAAGATGTTTACTTCTAGATGGAAAATAATTTCAGAAAAACCCTGCGGAGACATGAGTAGATGGGCAAAATGGTACGTTCCCATCCCTCCAAAATCTTTGTCACACTTTCAAACATATTTATTTCTAAAATATCTGTGGTTTAAACCTTATTAATCACAAAGAGAAATCATGCTGTAATATATAAACATGCTACATCTCATAAAGAGGTCTTCAGCTATTGTCTGTCCCCGTATCACTGCAACGTTTAGAGTTTGTCAAGCAGACACTGTGAGGAGCTTACCGTCGCTGGAGGAGGTGATACGTGTTGGTACAGCAGATCCTTGAAGTGAGTCTCATCCAGGATCACATTGTACTTCCCTACAGACAGTTTATAAAGATACAGTTGAAATAACGTCACCCGGAGTGGAATCTGTCCAAAACCAGATTTATGTATAACTGATAGTTTATCTGGATTAGGTAGTGGTCAATCAAAGCTGTCATGTCATGGGATAGGAGGGTAACAGTTATAAATAACATATTGTCCTACCGGGTACCCAGTTATGACTGGGTGAGTAGGAGCATGTTTTTAACAAAGTCACCAGCCTAGAGAAACTGAGGAGTAGAGCCCTGGAGTACCTGGCGCCAGGGATGGGGGATGGTATAACAAGATATACAAGACTAACCGTGTGTTTTGTGACACAGTTTCTTGCACACTCGGACCTCAGCAGCCAGCCCTATCACAGAGCAGCGGACGTTCAACTCCTCCAGGTTCTGTGGACAAATATGAACAATCATGAACAAAGACATAAAGCATGGACATATCATGGACAATCATGAACAAAGACTTAAATCATGGACAATCATGAACAAAGACAAATCATGGACAACCATGAACAAAGACAAATCATGGACTTAAATCATGGACAATCATGAACAAAGACAAATCATGAACAATCATGAACAAAGACAAATCATGGACTTAAATCATGAACAAAGACAAATCATGGACTTAAATAATGGACAATCATGAACAAAGACTTAAATCATGGAAATCATGAACAAAGACTTAAATCATGAACAATCATGAACAAAGACTTAATTTATGGACAATCATGAACAAAGACTTAAATCATGGACAATCATGAACAAAGACTTAAATCATGGACAATCATGAACAAAGACTTAAATCATGGACAATCATGAACAAAGACTTAAATCATGGACAATCATGAACAAAGACTTAAATCATGGACAATCATGAACAAAGACATAAATCATGGACAATTTATGGACAATCATGAACAAAGACTTAATTTATGGACAATCAAAACTTAAATTTTGTTTGTTTGTTGTTTAACACCACACTCAGTGATATTCCAGCTTTATGGCATCAGTCTGTAAATAATTGAGTCGGCACTCACAGGTACATACCTTTATTGTGGTGTCAATGTCGCCTGGGTCACACGTGGACAGACTCCCTAACACAACCAGAACCTCCCGGCTAGCGTGACTTGGCATGTGTCTGTGATTGGAGAAATAAGACAACTGATCATATCCTTTTCAAGAGGTTCTGGTCATTTAGGAAAGTGAGTGAGTGAGTTGAAAGTGAGTGAGTGTGAGGTGAATGAATTGGGTTTCACGAAGGAGCTTGAGAATATTTAGGAGTGATATGAGCGGCGAGCATGCATGTGTATGTGTTGAAGGAAAGGATTGCTTGTACTAGCCCAGACTTAAGCTGGTTTTATAGTGCTAGCCCACTGAGATACCATGCCGCAGTGAAGCATGAATACCCCACAAATAGATCCCATATAATTAAACACTTACTGAAACACATATATTTGCAATTTTAGAAATGTTTCTCAAAAGTCACAGGTATAAAAGCATCTTCAGGAAGATTCAGTAAAAAGAACTGATTCCAAAATGAGTTTCACACCACTTTTGAAGAATGACATAAAGTGGACCAGGTCATGCATCATTCCCTTCAAATACACAGCACTAACTTGGTGCCAGCAGATAATTATGGTAAAATCTTGGTACCCAAGACCTGACACACTCTGGCATAGCTTGTAGGGTTGAGGGAGCTGGAGTGATGTGCGAAGTCTAGAATTAGAGTTAATGAGTGAATATTGCTTCACGTCACCTCAGCAATTTTGCAGCCATTTGAGATGAAGTAGAACAAAAGACCAAACACATCCTGCCATAACTAGGGTATGTAGGAGTAACATGCGAGTCTAGAAGTGAAGCCTAAAACCCTGATTATCCTCGCACATCTAGCGGGATTCTTTGTGGTACCAGGACAAATGGTCAGCCATGTCTACAAAGAGTCCGAAGATATACAGAGAAGGTGAGGTGAGGTGAAATTGGGTTTAGCGTCGTGCTTGAGAATATTTCGCTCATATGACGACGTGCGTGTGTATGTGCGGCTGCTTGTACTAGCCCAGTCTGAAGCTGGTTTTATAGTGCTAGCCCACTGAGATACCATGCCGCAGTGAAGCATGAATACCCCACTCAGACACATTATACTGACTCTGAGCCGACCAGTCCTTGTTGTACCCATTAATGCCGAGCGCCAGGCGAGACCAACAAGTACCATATTTTAACGTCTTTTGGTATGACGCGGTCGGGGATCGAACCCGCGACCTTCCGCTCTCCGGGCGGACGCTCTAACCACTACACCACGGAGGCGGTCAAATACATAGAAAGGCACATAACAAACTCCACCCACTTCAGAGTCTGCATGGCCAGCTCCATCGAGTTCTGTAACGACGGCTCTCCTTGACATGCTCTCTCTTCCAGTCCTTGTAGAGCTGTGATGTGGCGTCTTGGGTTGCCTGAAGAGTGAGTGAGTGAGTATGGTTTTAACACTATTCCATCAGTATCACAGCAGCGGACACCATAAAGATTGTCTGTTAGATCTGTTACTGACTAAACTCAAGGTTTTAACTATTCCCTTGAGCCTCAACTAACAGGGTTGATATTATTATATAATCTATTCATATAGGCGCCGAGTTCCAGCTAAGCTGCACACAGGTGCTTTGTTTTTCCTTGGATGTCAATCTCAACGGCATATCGTATGATCAATCTCAACTCCCTGGGGAGCATACAACTCATGCATCCACTAGGGTGATGCTAACGTCTGGAATATCAGTATTGCTGGTTTGATCCCACGTGCCTAAAGGTTTCAACCACAGTCCTTTATCGAAAAATGTGAATTTCAACACTGGGATGGTCAAAATGGACATTTCAGTTTGAAAACTGATTCAAGGGAGCATTTCAAAATTTCAGTGTCAATTAATAAATGTTAAAGATCTTAATTACATATAAGTGTATAGGTTTCAGGCACACCTGTACACCCCACTGTAAACATACTGACTTCCTAAAAAATATTCTTTCAGAAATGCAAACACATAAACACTGTACCATATTATTTGCATACATTTTATTCAACACTGTAGGTTGTGTAGCATCATATTGCAACATATCTGTTCATCATGTTTTCATGGTATTAGTCTCTTCATTGTCATTGTGTCACTCACACATTTTATCATATACAACACATACCACCATCATCATCATCATCATCATCATCATCATCATCATATATTCACATCATCTTACTCATGATGATACTGAGGCCTTTTAACGTTCAGTAACAAATGAAATAAAAGGAAAATACTTAAAAATTCTTTTTCTAACCCTGCTAAATTCATTCTGACAGATGGAAATGTCCATCAAAGTCAAAATTATTACTTAATCCATTACAAGGAGTGAGTGGAGTGAGCAGTATTCCAGCAATATCATGGTCGAGGACACTAGAAATGGGCTTCACACATTGTACCCATGTGGGGATTCGAACTCGGGTCTTCGGCGTGACAAGCGAACGCTTTAACCACTAGGCTACCCCACCGCTTCTATCATTACAAGGAACATAACCGGTGCAAACCTGCCATTCAAAACCCATTACTAGCAGTGCATGGCATGACTAAGGGAGACAACTCTGTATATATTCTGGCTATACAGCCACTTACCAGTGTTCTATGTCATATATGAGATGCTGATTATTTAGCATTAATCCTCTCAATGCTGCTGTCGAACCCCTTTGACAGGAGAGCAGCATAATGACAACCCCAACTAAACATGCAATAACTATTGACCAAGTAGGATTTACGTTTCATTTGAATTATTTCAGGATATTTTTGGATTATGATGTTAATTTTTCTACCTAGTATTAATGTACAAAATATTGATTCAGTTGATTCTTATTTAATGACACACCAACTGTTTGGAATCATCCACACTCTTTACAATGCCTTATGCTGAAATTAATTAAAGCTTAAATGAATTTACCTCCAAGTTCTGTAAGTTTTTCTGCACGCTTGTTCCTTGTGGTGAGAATGCCCAGTTGGCTGATCGGGTTCTGATCAAAGTATTCTTCGATGAATTTCTCACAAAGCTGCAAAAATGACAGTGTCCATTACTCTACTGATAACAGACTGAGTGAGCTTTCTTTCAAGCTGTATTGATCTGCTTAAAGTTTGGAGGAAATCCCAAAGTGATGAAGACCCTCAAACATTTTGAAGCCCTCAAACTTTTACCACCTTGGAGAAACCCACAAGCACAGTTATGGGACAAACCAAGAAACATACTCAGTGTGAATCAGAATTTGAACCTGTGATCATAGGTTCCTGACATGTCAAAGGGACATAACTGTGCACAGTGAATTACAGCATCTAAGATGTTGTTTGTTGTTGGTTTGTTGTTTAATGCCATACTCAGCAATATTCCACCTATATGGCTGCAGTCTGTAAATAATCGAGTCTGGACCAGACAATCCAATAATCAACATCATGAGCATTGTTCTACGCAATTAGGATACGATGACAAGTGTCAACCAAGTCAGCGAGCCTGACGACCTGATCATGTTAGTCACCTGTTATGACAAGCATGAGGTTACTAAGACCAATCCAAACCCGTTCTTCACGGGAAAGTGGTAAAAGTAAAGCAGGTTTTTACCTTTATGGACGAAAAGAGTCTTGTTGGTTTCAAATCTTGATCATTCATTGAGTTGGACATGTCAATTATCAAGAAAAGATGTCGCATCTGAAGAAAACACATTTCTTAAAATATGGGCACAACATTAGAAAAGATTACTGAAATGAGAAAAAGTTGTTATTTCAAAGAGAGATTGATAAGGAAATGATTTTACAATTCAAATATATTTAAGTTCAGCTGAATTGTGTCATTGAAAAAACCTCAGTAAATTTGGATAAATTTTTCAACCAATTTTCATGCATTCTGCACAAAGTTCAGCAATCCCGGAAACCCTCAACCCAAACAAGTAGCATTCAAACTTTGAAAATAACCCCATTGCTAAATGTTTAGATGGTAAGATGTTTAGATGATTTTGGTGAAACCCGGAACATAAACAAAGTAAACAAGGATTAGATAACTGGGCTCTCTCCTCCCACGCCCACTAATAGTTGCCATTACCATCCCCAGTCGTATGTTGCCGATCTTCTCCAGCAGCTTCCTCTTCTTGGCCTTCTGGATGATGTCATCCACGCTGGCCTGCAGCGACCCAGAGTCATCCTCGATAAGGGCCTCCCTGAAATACAGGATAGGTGTAATATTAATAATAATAATGATAATCCATTTTCGATGCATCAGATTTCATTCACTATGGAGATACTCATCCCGCTACATATTTATTATCACTTGTTTGGGATGGCGTGGAATCAAATCTTGGAGGTGTTTGCAGGTTAACAGTTGTATTATCATCTCATCCTTCCGGGTACCCATTGACTGCTGAGTGAACAGAGGAGACTTGCCTGAGGAGACACCACACATTGCCTGTGTTTCAGTGTGGGGCCAAAGCCCCCAAACACTCTCATGTATAAAGCTGCCGAGCTACATGGTCAACCATCCATCTCCAGTAAGATTATGAGATCACCTGCTAATCAGGTGTTAATACAAACAAATATGACATTTAGATAGGAGTATATGCCGCAGTCTTGTAATCTTACTGAGGGAAGTGATAACTAGTAAATTGTAGGGGTGAATGGGTATACCACTGTATTAGTAGAAGCGTGGTATTTTGCCTCGGTTCGGTATACCGGTTTTCATAATTTTTTTGTCAATATCTATGCATTTCTTTGCTTGACAGTCGGTATTTTCCCAGAAGTAAGGTTTCATATACCGAACTGAAACAGACCAAACTGAAGGCCTTGTACAGCAATACCGTACCATGATGAGAGCGCACTGTGTCACCCTAGTAAATTGATCAACTGGACAGACTTCTTCTAAATATCAAACTATCCTAGACACTCAACTGACTCTGGCTATAAAACGGTAGATAAAGGCATGTTCAATGTCGACACAACGATACCTTTAAAAACATTTATACATTTCTTAACACATATTTGTGCACGTTGCTATTTATGAAAAAAAGAAAAAGATCAAAATAAAAGAATTTTTCTAAAATTAGCTGACCACACATGGCAGAATACAACATGAAGTGAGCTTAGTGTTTAGTACCAGGTTTTTTCGTATTCTGTTTCCCATCTGTATCCCTTTTCCTCTTCGTCTGCCATCGTCGGATGCTACTTATTCCCTACAACACTAACCGAGGTGCGTAAGTTCAGATTAAATTAAAGAATACGATCTCACAAACTAAACGAAAATCACGCCAAAAAAATAGTCGTCGAGAGTTACGTCCCTTTATGCATTCACAAGCTCCTTCCCAATGCGTAACCCGGACTGCAGACTGGTACCCTGCCGTTCGCCTTCGCAGAGCAGAAGTTAGAACCGCATGAGCCATGGGATAAGCAAACCAGTCTAACGGAGATATCGCTGTGAGGAGCTTGCTTTCACATACACAGTAAATGAGTTTCGTATTTTCAAATTCGAAGAATATGGATATTTTTTCGCTTGCAATATCATGTATAAACAGTTAGGATGGACAATTTATCCAAACTGACACATATCTTACTCTATATAACGTTTTATGGAATGCGAAACTACACTTCCGTAGTCGCAATGCAGTTGGCTACTTTCGTCAGACTGGAAAGAAGATGGGGAAAAACTGTAGTTCCAGAATCATGTTGACCGTGCTATTACGCGGGCAGTTCGGGTTAGTTGTTTTGGGAGAATTGTTGCTTACGCCTCTACACCCGACCAAATAATTGCAAATCATGGCATGATCATGGACTGTTTACATTTGAAATACACAAACTTTCAGTTTCAAGATCATGGATTCTGCCAATGTCATTTGTTGTCATTGTTGAATGATATTCGACATGGAGTGTTTTTTTCATGTCATCTGCTCAGCAAGCTACCGAATGTCACAATTTTCAGTCTTAGAAATCAATCAATGTTTAAAAGTCTGGCATATGACGGGACTCCAGCTGGTTTAATTGTTCCAGAAGTGACACTGACAAGCTGTATCTATGTTTGGACGTAGTGCACATTATAGCAGGGGCACTATCTGGGATTTCAATGAACAGATCGAAGGAGTATTAAATTCATGCTCCCAGTATTAAAATGGTATCTGATAAGCCAGCACTTTACCACAAAAACATGGGCGCTATCACAAAGAATCAGCATGTTACCAAGTCATCAACACCTATACAACGCAGTCCGGTAATTCCGCGCACCTAAGCACATCGATAGCAACACGGCAATTAACGTCTTTTAATTTTTGTAGTTTACGTGACTAAACATGCTGGTATGCATCATATTTACCTAGAAATATATGTTTTATTGACGACTATAATTCTAACGTTGCATTATATGCCATACGGTTGACCTTACCGTTTCTGCTCCTGCTGGAGATCCGAAGTATGGAAGCGTATTAGGGCCAGATTATTTTCAAAACTCACTACATGAATGTAAGGAAGAGTGTTTCATATTAAATCCAATTATGAATAATGAAGAAACCTGTTTAAAAGTCTGAAGAAAACGAATTTTCATAAAACTGTCAATTCATCTGTCAATTACTGTTATTTACTTACCTTTAGTGATTAAAAGCCAGTCCCTTGTAGAAATGTCCCGATAAATGTGGTAGCAGACGATGGTTACCTACGATATGGAAGTACGCTATTGCATCTGCGCAGAATTACCGGACGCACGGAATTACCGTACTCGCTTAATTGTAGCTACTAATCTTAAGAGTCATAAAAGGTCTTTGAACCGAACCAAATAGCTCAATAAAAGCTGTGTCCCATAAACTGCAATGTTGCCCCTCATTCTTTATTATTACACACTATATTTTCTATTTTTGTTCCACGAATACTTATTACATTCTTTGGTATTTCAACTTCATGTACTAAATTTATGCAGTGTTGAGAAAATACATTTCTCATCTTGTTTGATCACAGTTAATACAGAACTCACATCATGAGTGTAGAGCTGTGATTTGGTTCTTCGGTCAAGACATGACGCTACTACATTATGTCACCATCTACGTAAATCCTCTGGTTGGGTCATGGCTTGACTGAAGGACCCTATTGTGTCACCCAGCTACAGTTGGCCGTAATGTGTTTAAAACAGTAACATGCCCATTGGCTGCCATTGGATCTATAAACATAAGTTGCCCATAATTGTGACAGACATTAAAACAACATCTGGGAATATTATCATGATTATTGTCAAGAAATTATTATTGTTCTTTACAAAGCAAAAAGCAGGATCTATAGGGGATTTTTTCAATTTTGGTCATTTTAATCTGAAACAGACTTCTAGTACTGACCATGGCGTCAGTAGATATCATTACTAAATCATCTGAAGGATGTCTCTGCTAATCAAGTTTCATGAGAAATCCTTTTGTTTCAGCCCGTACTGTGGACGCTGTGTGAAGAAGTCACAAGCAGTTGCCCACAGGAGGGACATGCACATATGGTTGCGGACACAGGCTTCACCAAATACAGCAGTCTTGAGGAGCCTTGTCTCCAAAACACAAACCCATAGACAGATACTGGCACTGCAGCCTCGAAATGTGTATCAAATATGTAACTTCTCAGCCCTCAGGATTGCCAGGCCCTTACTCAGGGGCCCTGCTTCACCTTACAAAGTTGTCGTCTTCTCTCAGAGAGACATGTCGGTCATTGGGCGACTGGCTAGTGGTTTTGGGCGATTGCTGCGAGTCCGATATCTGGTACTGACGGGTGCCGTTGGAGGAGGTGTGGCAGTCAACAAGGTTGGTGAACAGACAATCGGTCAATATCCATCTTTGCACAAAAAAAATGTATTGTTACTATTTTCATTTGGTTTTAAATGTTTTCTGTCTACTGTCCTGTTTTCTGGAGGCACATAGTAAAGATGTCCAATGTTTTGATGTTTTGGTTGATAATTTGAACCCTACCGGTAGTTTTGTCCAGATATACTGTTGGCACTTTGGTTTTGGGATTTACCAAAGTATTAAAAGCTTTTTAACTTTCCTCCAACATCCAATGGAACTACTGGTGAAGACTGTTTCAATCTACATTGCTCTGTCTTCTGTTTTCTTACTTTCAATTTTGTGTATTTTGTAGAAGATTGACAGTTGGAAAGAATACTTTCCTGATCTACACTGGATGAAGGAATACATTCCGGAATCGGAGGCTCTGTCCCAGCTCGCATCCAGTATCCGAAATTTCGCCAAGCACACGATGGAAACTAATGAACAAATGGTTAATATGCTCATTCCATGTTTTCTCGATCCTCACCAGGCTCACTGCTGTATATACTGTCACTATAACTTAAACATGGAAATCCTGTTACATGCTGTTTTAAAAATAACACCCTTTAATGTTATAATTACTTTTGAAGATTTGGATGCTTGAGTGAGTGAGTGAGTCTAGTTTTACGCCGCACTCAGCAATATTCCAGCTATATGGCGGCGGTCTGTAAATAATCGAGTCTGGACCGGACAATCCAGTGATCAACAGCATGAGCATAGATCTGCGCAATTGGGATTCGATGACATGTGTCAACGAAGTCAGCAAGCCTGACCACCCGATCCCATTAGTCGCCTCCTACGACAAGCATGGGTTACTGAAGATCAATATTCTAACCGTTCACGGGACTTGGATGTTTGTCAGAAGCATGATGGTAAGACGCAAGTAATGGCATCAGGTTTCAGATCCGCTCACCTGGTAGATACATGTGGTTGTATCCCAGTTGTGTACAAAGATGTTCATGATATTAATCACAAGATTATCAGCTCCAGACTTGATTATTTACAGACATGTTGCTGGAATGTTGCTGAGAGTGTCAATAGACGAACACACAAACAGTTCATTGTAGACCCCAACTAAACAAATGATAAAGCATTCCTGCAGTGTTATGGATATTTTGCACCTTTGCCTCTGTTAAAGCAACAAAACTCCTAAAAAGAATTCCATTGTGAACAATCACTGTGTGTATTGTTGTATATAAGCAGTGTTGTAAACTCCCCAAACTTTCAGCCAGACAACTGGTCTGGTAACTCTCAAAAGTTACCAGACCAGCTGGAAAGTTGCCACTCCAGAATTTTCTGGATTAAGAAAAATAGAAAGGAGGTTACGTTAATAAGAGGAGGGATCTGTTTAATGTCAGGTTATTGTGACAATAACACACGTTTTCAAATGTTTTTAAGTCAAGGCTTTGGTCATCATATACATTACAAAATTACACTGATTTAACAGCCAGACCATCGGGCGGCGTGCAACATTTTTAAACTGACCGTCCGGTCGCAAAACAGACCGTCCCGGACAGTCGGGCAGGTGGGAGTTTGCAACGCTGATATAAGGAATACTCAATGTGCACAATGTGACCCCTTAAATGTATATAAATGAATAATGATAAGCCTCTGTAGTTGAGGTACTCTGGGTTTTGTTTTTACTGGTGTTTATGTTTGTGTTTGTTTTATGTTTTACTTATTCTCTGTATTCTAAGGTCTGCAAGTGATCTAAGTCGTGTATCACTGATTAAGAAAGGAACGGACTAAATTCTGCAGCTGTTCACCAAAATAATTCTAGTTATTTGACATCTCGAGCCGTAACAATGCGATGAGACCATGATGTGACACTTATACTGTTAATACGCTGTTGATATGATCTCTATCCCGATAATCAATGTTATGTCATAAGTTCGTATTCTCCCCCTTTCTGCAACTGAGTCATAAACATAAATAATTTGTTTTTAAATCTCAGACCGTGGAGATTGGATATTATGCAGAAGAAAGGCATAAGCTTTGGGCCTTGTGAACATTGTGCTATTTATTAGCAATAAGGGGCGGTGGGGTAGCCTAATGGTTAAAGCGTTAGCTCGTCACGCCGAAGACCCGGGTTCGAATCCCCACATAGGCACAATGTGTGAAGCCCATTTCTGGTGTCCCCGCCGTGATGTTGCTGGAATATTGCTAAAAGCGGCGTAAAACCAAACTCAGTCAGTCAGTCAATATTAGCAATAAGGAAATACCAGAGAACTGTTATTATGCAATAAAACTAGTAATGCATTGTGTAGCATGTAATATGATTCAGGAGTTGTAAATAAATGTATCACATAATTATGATATAATGTTTGGCCGTATCGTTGTACCACCATTGACAAGATGATGACAGTTTATAATGGTTGCATTACTGTTGACAACATGTCAGTTTGATTGTGGCTTTCTGTTTCAGAGTTGGCTAAAAACCAAACTGTCTGACAATAAAAAGGCTGTTGTGGATTGGCTGAATGAGCACTCACCACCTGACCTAGGGTCAACTTTGGTGGAAGGTAAAACCGGTAAATGTCGTCAGCTTTTTGCATCGAGGTCCATGGGAGATAACTCATGTCATGGATGTTGAATTTGTGTCTTTCCAGAAATCACTCACTCTTCAGTCCTGAAATTCCAGTATGTTGTGACTGTTGATGACAAGCACTGCTGCATGGCTTTAACTTGTATCTCACTAATTGGTCACTTCCACTGGCAAATGCATTACACTCATCTTTATGCCATTTAAATGCCTCACTCCACGAAGATCTGAAGACAACTCCAGTCATCATTGGGTTTCAAATTCGTGAAATATTTACTGTTAGGGGTAAAAACATCTACCACTTGTACCAGACCACTGGACAGTGTACTTTTGAAATTTGACTGTCCGAGATGAAAATAGACCGGGCAGGTGGGAATTTTAAACGCTGTTTATGTACATTGGCAGTATTTTCATTTATGATAATAATGGTCTCATTAATGGAAGAACCTATTCTTTTCATTATAACTATGAGGGATGGTGGGCATTACATTTAACATTACAATGATAAGGGGCGGTGTGGTAGCCTAGTGGTTAAAGCTTTTGCTTGGCACATTGAAGACACAGGTTCGATTCCCCACGTGTGTACAATATGTGAAGCTCATTTCTGGTGTCCCCAGCAGTCATATTGCTAGAATATTCCTAAAAGCAGCATAAAACTTAACTCACTAAGGGATACTTAATGTAAGCCTAATGATGAACAATGTATCACTGTGAATATCATACTGAGATATCTGGATATCATCTCACTATTGTGTTGTATCATTCTCCAGAACTGGAACATTTTCAGGATTATGTAAGATTTTGTTTAATCATATTAATAAACACTTCGGACTCTACCAGCTTAAAATTGTTCTAAGAATAAAATTCGTTTGAGAATTATACATATTATCATGTGGCTTTCTCCAAACTGAGCTCACTAGTAACATTTAGTACTAGTAGAGACCAAACAGAATGTTACTTGACTCTGTCTTTCAGTCAATTGTTTAAATTGGAGACTGAAGTGTGTTTGTAAATTGTGAACTGATCTTCATCGGAGTGAAGTACATTTCTTTGCTTTGTTAATTTTGATCTCGCAATTAACACATTTAGCCCACTCTTACCCAAGATACAAAATATCCAAGATATTGGCTTAAAATGAAAAAGTTATCATGATTGATTTCATGTGCTTTTGTTGAAACGTATCAATAATGATTTTGATGAAATGACATGAGTTATCTCCCCATGCCTTTCACCTGATAACCCAGCATCTTTGGTCTGTATCTTTTGGTTCTGCTCCTCATCTGTTTCATCTCACTTATATTTTTGTTACCATGGTTACAGTTGTAGATTTCTTTTTAATGGTTTTGTTATATGTATGTTTTCAGTGTATGTTTACCAGTTACCATGGTTACTGTTCCTGATTAAATATTATGGAGTATGTAAGTTTTCAACAATTTCTAGTGTCCCCTGCCGTGATGTTGCTGGAATATTGCTAAAATCGGCGTAAAACCAAAAACTCAGTCAGTCAGTCAGTTTCAATAAATGTGTCTGAAACAAGATTAAGAATTAACATGTTCTTAGTGATCATTCTAGTTATGTATTATTGTTGATAATTTATTGTTTAGTTTTTCTGCCCATTTTCTTTCCGAATCTGAAAAAAACCCATATGCATGTGTTTCATGAAGTTTGTAACATTCTATGCAACATAACGTGTTGAGGACTATACCTGTTACTCAAGATGACTTTTAGACAGTGGTCTGTCAAAGAAATACAAGTATGGTAGTTTTGTGTGTCTGTTTGTTGTAATGCTTCACGCACCAGTATTCAGCTATATGACTGTCTGTACATAATCGGGCTGTGGGGTATCCTAGTGGTTAAATCGTTGGCTCGTCACGCTGAAGACCCGGGTTCGATTCCCCACATTGGCATAATGTGTGAAGCCCATTTCTGGTGTTCCCCGCCGTGATATTGCTGGAATATTGCTAAAAGCGGCTTAAAACTAAACTCAGTCAAACTGTAATAATCAAGTCTGGACCAGACAATCCAGTGATTGACATCATGAGCACAATTCAATGGAGCTAGGATAAAATGACATACATCAACCAAGTCATCAAGCCTGACCACTCCATCCCTTTAGTCACCTCTAACGACAAGCTCACGATATGGCTGAAATATTGCTGATGTGACGTTAAATATTAACTCACTCACTCACTCTAACGACAAGCATGGGTTGATGAAGATAATTTCTTACCCTGATCTCTACACAGAAAAGATGTTAGTTATGACATCACTCATTTAGCTGACTTATTTCATGCAATGGTAAAATTTCACCGACAAACAGACCAGTAAATATCTTGGACGACATGGTATTCAGAAATCCTTGGACCGCCTCCGTGGTGTAGTGGTTAGAGCGTCTGCCCGGAGAGCGGAAGGTCGCGTGTTCGATCCCCGACCGCGTCATACCAAAAGACGTTAAAATATGGTACTTGTTGGTCCCTGCCTGGCGTTCGGCATTAATGGGTACATCAAGGACTGGTCGGCTCGGAGTCAGTATAATGTTTCTGAGTGGGGTATTCATGCTTCACTGCGGCATGGTATCTCAGTGATCTAGCACTATAAAACCAGCTTCAGTCTGGGCTGGTACAAGCAGCCGGTATTCACATACCTTGCTTGTCTATGTATTCTCAAGCACGACGTTAAACCCAATTTCACCTCACCTCACCCAGAAATCCTTGCTTGTCTTGTGAGGTGACTATTGTGAGGTTTTCAGGCCGCTGTCATATTGATGCGAGTCATTATAACCCAGTTGCATAGATTGATGCTCTTGATATCAATCACTGGATTCATTATTTACAGACCTTGGTCATATAGCTTGTATATTGCTGAGATCAGCATTAACCAACGAACAAGCAGAAATATGGTAAATTCTTCATAACAACATTATGGGGCTGGGACGATTCACCGATGCACCAATACATCATGATACATTTAAGTTTGATACAACTATTGCATCGTCGACTGGTGTATCGATACAAAACAATACACAACCTTTTTTCAAAACAATATTATCTTAACCATGTTAATGTACTTATTTAGAGAAAAATATGAAAGTATGATAGAGTTTCTTGTTTGTTTATTACAAAAGTGTTATTGTTATACACAAATACCATGAAATAAATCTTAATACTGTCATTCTTTCAAGGTGTATGTATCGTGATGCGTATCGTATCACAGGTAAAATATCGAGATACGTATCGTATCATGACATAGTGTATCATCCCAGCCCTACAACATAAACAGTTTATCATCATGATAGCACAATGATATGCAATTGTAACTTGGCCACCCAAAGCTTTTATGTCTTTAACATGCTGAACCAGCGAGGTGTATCGATTGACTGCATGCTCAGACATTTATGTAATCAATAAGATCACTTCTATATTATTTATCAAATACTGTTGATTATTTGTGAATTGTACTTCTTATTCATGTTGATGGCCAAACTCTGATTATTGGTTCACGGATTTCATTTTAAAATTCCTGGACGACAGTAGTGATGGTGACTGGACTGAATGCATTTTGTTAGAATAATGATTAATGTATAGCCAAACAGACCATTTATCCAACCTACACAATAAAATGCAACATACCCGTAATTTCCGAATATCTTGTGATAGATATTTGCTGGTGTTTTAATAATGGTGTATCAGTTATATCGTCACCTCCAGTCAATTTTGGGGGCTGTGGGGTAGCTTAGTGGTTGAAGTGTTGGCTCGTCACGCTGAAGACCCCGGGTTCGATTCCCCACATGGGTACAATGTGCGAAGCCCATTTCTGTTGTCCCCTGCCGTGATATTGCTGGAATATTGCTGAAAGCAGCGTAAAACCAAACTTGCCAATTGTGTGATCACTGGAATCCGTAAACCAATTTCAGAAAGTCTCGTCTGTAGAATTGTATGTATTCTGACATGTTGCTGCCATTTTGCCTCATCAGGGTTAAGTCGAGAGGTGCCCTTAGTCCTAGGCCCGACTCCAGGTGTGTAGAATACAAGAACATCTCCGTCATATCTGTATGTCTGTATGTAGATGGTGTGTTGTCATAGCAACCTGTGGTGGCCGTGCATCATCAGTACTGCCCCTTCAAAGTAGGATATGTTTGTCCAGTTTAGAGCAATGAAACCTTGTTCGTCATGAAATCAGCTCATGTCCCCTGTCATCAGCCCATGGCTGAGTGGGTAAGATGGCTGACTTTGTGTGCTGGCGATTACCAGTAGGTGGGTTCAAATTTGTTGGTAAGAAATCACACATCACATCGTATACATTTACAGGTTTTCTGGAAACATATATATTCATCCATGCAGTGAAATTGTTAACTGCCAGTTTTCAACAACCATTTGCAACATGCTACTGAAAAAAATAGAGCCTTTTTTTTTTTAATAAAACACTGACAAATTTATGGATTACAAGGTTTTTTATACTTTGTGAGAGCAACGTGATACATTCCTGGTAGACAACAATACAATAATCTGTACCAAACTGTTGCAATTTTTTAAAAAGTACAAGAGAAGTTGTTGTCTCGGTATTGTACTTCCCAACATCTGGAATGCAACTCAAAGAAATGGTTTGATATGTATTTAGATTGTGTCTATTTTTCAAAGCAATGTTCAGGTAAAGACTAAGCTTCTATGAAGTATTTTTGGTTAATTTGATGCATGATTGTTGGAGATTAGTTACCATGGTGATGGTGTTTCTCTTCTGTGTGTCACTTGTGTCAGAGGTGGATCCCAGGGTTGGAGGTGTAGGGTCGAATCTCAGAAACAAAAACTGAAAATACAGGACCGTTTCCTTTCTGTGAACATGATTAGTTGGACAACAGATTTCTTCTTGACAAATGTAGGCAGTGGGGTAGCCTAATGGTTAAAGCATCCGCTCGACCTGGGTTTGATTCCCCACTTGGGAACAATGGGTGAAGCCCCATTTCTGGTGTCCCCCGTCGTGATGTTGCTGGAATATTGCTAAAAGTGGCGTAAAACCAAACTCACTCACTCACTCACTCACTCACTCACTCACTCACTCACTCACTCACTCACTCACTCACTCACTCACTCACTCACTCACTCACTCACTCACTCACTCACTCACTCACTCACTCACTCACTCACTCACTCACTCTCACTCACTCACTCACTCACTCACTCACTCACTCAGTTCTTAAATAATATTATAAGATTCTTTAGCATTTTTATGAAATGTGAGGGATATGTAAATGTGTTCAGCATGTTTAAAGAAAGAATGCACACATTGCTGTAAGTGTCACCGCAACTGTTATGTCTTCATGGATTCATTTTGCACAAAGGGCGGTGGGGTAGCCTGGTGGGCTAAAGTGTTCGCTCGTTACGCCGAAGACCCGGGTTCGATTCCCCACATGGGTACAATGTGTGAAGCCCATTTCTGTTGTCCCCCGCCGGGATATTGCTGGAATATTGCTAAAAGCGGCGCAAAACCATACTCACTCACTCACTCACTCATTTTGCACAAACAATCAAAGGTCACTGAGTGGGTCCATGTTTTTGGCTCAGAATTTTTTTGGTTATTTTTCTCTCAGTGGAGTGATTAACAGGCTTTGTGTGTTGATGTATCCCTTTTCTTTATATATTTTTGTCTGTATGACTGTTAAATGCCATATTATTATACTTCTGGACATTGTTATGTGGACCAAAACATTAGAGTATAGTATTTCACCGCCATCTTGTTGTTTTTGAAGAAGCTCTGGATCCACCTGTGTGTGCTATATGTGTTTGTGATGAATGTGTTTTTAGGTAGGTGGGGGGAGGTGAGTGGTGTTCTTGTATTCTGCACACAGAGGACGGCTGGGTCACGCTCTGTGATCTGTGCTGCTTCCCACCCCTTGTGCTATATCCTCCCCATCCACCTGACCCTTCACTCCTTATCACAACCATCACTGCTTTCACAAAAATAAGTTCGTCCCTACCACCTCATAATTATTTGTCTACCTGTCAAGATCTGAGATAGAATTGATCTTCGGTAACCCATGCCTGTCGTAAGAGGCGACTAACGGGATCGAGTGGTCAGACTCGCTGACTTGGTTGACACATGTCATCGTATCCCAATTGTGTAGATTGATGCTCATGACGTTGATCACTGGATTGTCTGGTCCAGACTCAATTATTTACAGACTGATGCCAAATAGCTGGAATATGGCTGAATGTGGCGTAAAACTATACTCACTCACTCACTCACTCATAATGGTAAGGACTTGATACTGCTGTTCGCCAACACAATCATTTCAAGACGATTAATATGAATGAGTGATGACTTGTTCGATGCATGTGATCATATCCAAATTGTGTAGGTCAATGCTCATGATATCAATCACTGGATTGTTTGGTCCAGACTCAAATAGCCATAATATAGCTGGAACATTGCTGAGCCTGGTTACACAACAAACAATTGGTATGAATAGACAATCAAGTGGTACCTTTTAGGTTAGTGTACATGTTCTCCCTTCACCCAGGAATATATCCATCTGCACTATGATACAATCACAACCTGCATATATTTATATTTGTTGAGAAACTAAGGCCATGTTTGACCAGAATGCGAAACTGACACCCTTCCCTAAGCCCGTGTCCAGCAAAATTTTAGTTTGGCTGAAGATGGTTGAGTTTAATGTATACAACCCTATGAAGTAGTGATTGAGGAATTTAGTGTATATGAAAGTGTGAACTGGTGACAGTGATACTTTAATAAACATTAATTACATGGCAGTTACTATATGCATGAGATATTTTGATATCTGGAAGATGTCTCGCAGTTACTGAGGTACTTAAGACAGCGGCACAGTGCAATACGTTGTTGTGTACATGTGTCTCTTACAAGAAATACAGTAGAAAATACAGACGTGACTGTCAGCTTTAATGTCAGTACTGCAAACATTACTTCCTTGAAACATGGTTTTAACAGTTTTGCAGATGTCAGTGATATGAATGAACTAAATCACCATGCTCATTAAATGTGTGAGGTGAGGTGAGGTGATGGTTTATAGTATTTTGATTCAGTAATTTTGGAATGTCAAGAGTTGAACTGTGACTGACTCGTGTGAGTGTTTCCATGACAACCTGTGTGTTACTATGACTATGTATGTATGTATGTTACCATGACTACCTGTGTATGTTATTATGATGTGTGTATTTGTATTACCATGACTACATGTGCGTGTTGCCATGACTACGTGTGTATGTTACCATGACTATCTGTGTGTGTCAGATGCGAATGTGTCGACCACGACGGCGGTGTTCGGAGAGGCTAAGACTGGCGGTGCGGAATACAGCTCCGACTCAGTGAGTACTGCGATCATTAATGGCAAGGTTCGGAACAGTGAACAGTGCGTTTGCACTGGTTATTTCAAAAACTGTCAGTCATTATAGCATAAATATTGAAGAAACATTGTTTGAATAATGTTCAATATTGTTGAAACTCTTATAATACCATCATGAACTACTCGGGGCAGTGGGGTAGGTGTTTGCTTGTCACACCAAAGAACTAGGTTCGATTCCCCACATGGGTATAATGTGTGAAGCCCATTTCTGGTGTCCCCCGCCGTGATATTGCTGGAATATTGCTAAAAACGGCGTTAAACCAAACTCACTCACTCAAGAGCTAATCACTTCTACATCCTCCATACTTTCATTCTGTAATAGCCAATGTCTTTTGAGCTGGAAGTATTGATCAACAGCTTCATTAGGAGAGAGTTTAGTGCTGTCATTTGATTGTGGCATCATGGTAGCCAAGCGCATCACAGTGACGTAAGACATGTGAGCAGACATCCATGTTAACACCCTGTCCTTTCTCTCCTGTAGAGTGACAAGAAGAGGCTGGAGCGGGTCCAGGGGGAAATGATGGAGGTGCAGGTACGTCCCACAGCAGCGTCTTCATCCATTACCTGGATCAGCTGAATGGAAGTTGGATCAAAATACTTAAATAAAAATAAAAAAATAAAATAGTTAAATAGTATGTCTATTGTTGCAAAGTGACAAACACTGCAACTTAGACCTGGTTGGTTGTTAATGTCTATGATTTTCTGATGTTACCATGGCAGCTGATTATGATGTAATGATGTTGCCTTGGTTACAGCTGCGGTACCAGAAGGAGATCGGCGTCTGGAGAAGGACAATCGTGAGCTACGGAAACAGCTCCTGCTTAGGGAACAGAAGTCCGGGAAAAAGAGGGTCATGAAGGTGGGTAGTTTCATATCTCTGGCATACTCGCTGTGAATAGCTGATGCAGCGTATATTCATTCATTCATTCGTTCTCTGGAATATAACATGGTGTATATTTGTATTTCTTAATAATGGCTAATATTGATGAATTTAATTACTGCATTGAAACTTGATTTAGAAGTCTGTCGGACATGGTACACATTTGAAATTGTCCATGAACATTGAAAATGGGTTTGTGTCATAACCTGAAAAAAGATACAGGGATTTCTTGGGTTCATATACTACAATAATTTGATAAGGATGCATACTTTTCTTCCCAATTGCACAGATCGATGCTCATGCTGTTGATCACTGGATTGTCTGGTCTAGACTCGATTATTTACAGACTGCCGCCATATAGCTGGAATATTGCAGACTCACTCACTCACTCACTCATACTTTTCTATCTAGTATGAATGCTCACAATATTGGTTCAGTTGTCTCCTAATTAATGAAGCCCCAGCTGTTTGAATGACCCACCCTATTCCCAGTGAAGTTCATCCTGCAGACAGGGCTAAAAGTGAAAACAATTCGGCAGGCTAAAGGCTAAAAGTGAAAATAATTCGGCAGACTAAAGGCTAAAAGTGAAAACAATTCAGCAGGCTAAAGGCTAAAAGTGAAAACAATTCAGCAGGCTAAAGGCTAAAAGTGAAAACACTTCAGCAGGCTAAAGGCTAAAAGTGAAAACACTTCAGCAGGCTAAAGGCTAAAAGTGAAAACAATTCAGCAGGCTAAAGGCTAAAAGTGAAAACAATTCAGCAGGCTAAAGGCTAAAAGTGAAAACAATTCAGCATGCTAAAGGGTAAATACTAAGTACCCTGTTACTGTCAAATACTGGGTTTCCATATCAAAGTTTTAGAGGAACATTTTTCCGCCTCCTGTAGTGTTTGTTGTTTGTCACGCCGAAGACCCGGGTTCGATTCCCCACATGGGCACAATGTGTTAAGCCTATTTCTGGTGTCCCCTGCTGTGATATTGCTGGAATATTGCTAAAAGCGTCGAAAAACTAAACTCAGTCAGTCAGTCAGTTTGTTGTTTGTCCACAGAAGTCTCTGATTGATATGTACTCTGAAGTCCTGGATGATCTGACTGTGTACGACTCCAGCTACAACACACAGGACAACCTACCCAGGGTATGTAACAACGTCAGTACAGGGGGATGTACTACTATATGATGTGTTACACAGCAGGTCTTGTTCATAGTCTGTGTGACCTGCCCAGGGTACGTAACAACGTTGTGTCAATAGGATGTACTACTATATGATGTGTTACACAGCAGGTCTTGTTCATAGTCTGTGTGACCTGCCCAGGGTACGTAACAACGTTGTGTCAATAGGATGTACTACTATATGATGTGTTACACAGCAGGTCTTGTTCATAGTCTGGGTGACCTGCCCAGGGTACGTAACGACGACACAATAGGATGTACCACTAAATGATGTGTTACACAGCAGGTCTTGTTCATAGTCTGGGTGACCTGCCCAGGGTTCAGAGAATGTTGGCGACACAATAGGATGTACCACTAAATGATGTGTTACACAGCAGGTCTTGTTCATAGTCTGGGTGACCTGCCCAGGGTACGTAACGACCGGCGACACAATAGGATGTACCACTAAATGATGTGTTACACAGCAGGTCTTGTTCATAGTCTGGGTGACCTGCCCAGGGTACGTAACGACGGCGACACAATAGGATGTACCACTAAATGATGTGTTACACAGCAGGTCTTGTTCATAGTCTGGGTGACTTACCCAGGGTACGTAGAGATGCTGGCTCAATAGGACAAACTAGAGAGTGATATGTTTACAGCAGATCTTGCTTGTAGTCTCTGCCAAGTACCCTGGGTACATAGGTAGCCATGTTTGATGTATTACAGAGTGATATGTTAACATGCCCTTGTTCAAAGTGTGTGTGACCTCCTCCGTGGTGTAGTGGTTAGAGCCTCTGCCCAGAGAGCGGAAGGTCACGGGTTCGATCCCTAGCTGCGTCATACCAAAAGACGTTAAAATATGGTACTTGTTGGTCCCTGCGTGGCGCTTGGCATTAATTGGTACAACAAGGACCGGTTGGCTCAGAGTCAGTATAATGTGTCTGAGTGGGGTATTCATGCTTCACTGCGGCATGGTATCTCAGTGAGCTAGCACTATAAAACCAGCTTCAGTCTGGGCTAGTACAAGCAGCCACACATGCACATGCATGCACGTCGTCATATGAGCGAAATATTCTTAAGTAGAACATCATACCCCATTTCACCTCACCTCAAGGTGTTTGGGAAATGTAGTTCTTGAATGAAAAAGAGGATAAAAATTGCATAATAAGAATAATAAGTTATAGCCATGCTGCATTTTGTTCATAACTGAACAAGCACATTCTCTCAGTCGATTTCTAACATATTTATTTTTCCTTATCCTGACTCATGCTCTTTTGCTTGTCCCCTTCCTCTTGCGAACATAGTGGAACACTTGTATCTCCTTAATTGAAGCTCCCTTCAATGTAAAATCACTAATTGGTACTCACCCAAGAGTTGCCTCCCCTGCCTCAAGCGCGGGAACAGGTGTCGCCACCCTCTGGCCTCATGCTTCACTCTCTCCTTCTTCGCCCAGTGAGCAGGATGTGAGAGCGCCTGTGTCTCCTTACACACTATATCCTTTGGTTTTCTTAGTTAGTTACCTCTTATAGTTTACTATAAAGGTATAGCTAGTATCCTTCATTAATTTGCATTGATAAGTAATCGTATTTCTACTGTTTATTCACGTGAGTTCGTGATTGTTCAGCTAGTATTACGTTGATGAAAAACTGTACTATTTGTAGATTACGTTTTTCCGCTGCGGATCCGCATGTAGTATGCCCTAGTTGTACTACGCCTTGTGCGTTTGATTCACGTTGCAGTTACTGCATTAATTTAACCAATTCTGCCTTTAATAAATACCATCTTTGCGTCTTGAGACGTGTTGCAGATAGGTCACGCAAACTAGGTGTAGACATGGCCGATACATCGGATTTCCCATCCAGTCAGCTGCTGTCGAGCGATCCCCTCCCGTCTGGTGTTCTGCTTGAGACCCCATCGGAAGAGGGACGTGGGATGCAGTCATCGCAGATAAAGTCCAAGAGGGCCTCAACGTCTTCTCAACGCAGACTTCGTACCCCCAGGGCAGCGTCATCCTCCAAAGGGAAATCTACGAAGTCATCGAGAACTTTCTCAGCAGAGATCGTTCCAGCAGCAGAATTGGGCCTCTACGATGATCAACCAATCATCATACCCGACATACGCCACAAGAAGCAACCAGTGACAGCGACAGTGACTTCAGCAGAGATCACCATGCAGCCTGATGCCTCTACACTGATGTCAGACGAGATCGCGGAGGGCCCCACCGCTATCAGCGCAGAGAGGGCACCATCTACTACGCCGCAGATCATCCCAGACGATCTAATGAAGCAGATCATGATCATGATGGAAGGCCACTACAGACTGGAGAAGCAGCCATCCGAGGGTCCGAGCCTTCGCGAAGGCTCCAACGTAGACAGCACCCCAGAGGCACCCCCAGTCAACGTAGCAGCCACGACGATGCCACCTTCGCGAAGGAAGTCACAGACCACCTCCACGAAGGACCCAGATGTACAGCCTTCGCGAAGGCCTTCGCGAAGGCGGGAAAGATCATCACCCTCTTCGGCGTCATACTCAGATACGGAATCTGATCATCAGACCTCACGGAAGCCTTCGCGAAGGTCATATCACCGTTCCCCAGGACCGGACGCAGAGGAAGCTTCGCGAAGGCGTTCGCGAAGGACACCTGAACCCAGATCGTCATCATCATCTAAAAGGACATCGAGGGACTACACAAGAGCTTCGCGAAGCTACCAACGGTCCCCTCATAGGTCGCCAAGAAGATCAACCTATCGATGTAGATCACCAAGACGATCGCCTCGCCGATCACCACGCCGATCTCCACGTACATCACCACGTCGATCACCTCACAGGTCTGCACATAAGCCTACAACTAGATCTCCACAAGCGTCAAACGATATAGAGATAGAGCCACACAGTCCTACATCAGAAGAGCAACAACCTCTCATTTATGATGATGGAATGGAAGATGATGGAGGAATTATTTTCTCAGATGCAGAGATAAGATATTGGATGGTCAATAATCTAGATCTCTCATCACCTTCCAAGAGTGGCAATTCGGCGCAGACTTATCTGATGAAAGAAGACGATGCAGATGCTATTACACTACCCCCAATCGACCCGATTGCGGCGGTACCACAGAACCTAGATACAGCATTCAACAAAGCCACGAAGGTTCAAACACCACATCTGCCAAACTTTCACGCCAAGAAGTTCTCCACGCATAATATGGACCCCTTCTTCAAGGCACAAGACATCGATGAGAACTACAAGCTGATCTCCGATGCCAAGAACAAGTACTACAAGATTGATGATCGAAAATTGGTTCAGATAGAAACCATGACGAGGTGTATGTTCTTTGGTCTAAATAGATCTAGAACAATAAATGAGACACTTATCACCAGATTTCGTAACGACCTACCTCTGAAGATGATAGAATGATTTACTCGGCCCTACTGATGCAAAAGAAGGACCAGCAGTTCTTAACAGATCATCTCACGTCTGTCTCAGCAGCACTGACCTTAGCTCGTCGTCAAGGCCTCCTCGCTTCCTGCAACTGGGGTGAGAACTTTACAGCTCCACTATATACAGCCCCGTGGTCTTCCCCATCCATCTTTGACGGAGGAATAGACAAAGTCTCCAAGGAAGTCACCAAGGATTCCAGAGAAGTCCTGATGATTAAATCGATGGACACGCTAGCCAGTGTCATTCGACAGACTTCACAAAGATACTCAGGGAGATCTAAATTCACGGGCCTACAAAGAGCAAGAGACAGGAAGATAGCCAGTTCCAGGGGAAGAGATTCTTTTACGCCCATATGGCAACTATAGAGGAGGGTCAGGAAGAGGCAGGACACCCAGAGGTTCCCGCAACTATAAACGCTGAAAGACAGGTTCGGAACGACTGGAGTCTTCCACCCCCAGCCGTTCCAGTACAACCGTCACAAGTGGGTGGACGTCTCCAACTACACTGGGAAAACTGGGGAATACTTCAAGACACCTATGTCTCCAACATTCTTCAACGCGGATTTCGTATCCCACTACAGGCCAAGCCTCCACTAACAGTCAACCCTCCCAAGTTCGAGGTACAGGCACAGCAACTACTAAAGTTAAGAGAGGCTGTTACATTACTCCTAACCAAGCAGGCCATAGAAGTAATAGATCAAGGAAACATCGAACCAGGTTTCTACTCCCCAGTTTTCCTAGTACCCAAGAAAAACTCCAAGGAGAAATACAGACTCATTTACAACATGAGCTTCTTCAACAAGACTTATCTACGCGAGACCACCGAAGTTCCACATGATACATCTACCGCGAGTTACGGCACATGATTCGTCCCATGGACTACATGGGCAGTATAGATCTACAAGATGCCTATCTGCACATCCCTATACATCCCGAATCCAGGAAATACCTACGGTTTACTCTAGACGGGTTACATTACCAGTGGAAAGTACTCCCATTGAATAACATCAGCCCCATGGTTATTCACGAGGATAACGAAACCGATTGTCACCTATCTACATCGTCAAAGGGCTCTACGCAGTCGCGTTCTTCCTCGACGACGGGATACAAGTAGATCAAGATCCACAGCATCTCAAACTACAGTTAAACTACATCATAAAGCTACTAACACAGCTGGGATGGTTAGTAAACTTACACAAGTCGGACCTAGTACCATCGCCAAGATCTGCAATTCCTAGGCATTCGATTTATCACCAATCTCAACCGTATAGTGTACCAGAAGACCGTTGGCTCAAGATCAACAGATCATTCCTCCAGCCCTACTCTCTCCGCTACCACTTCGACAATGGCAGAGTTTACTAGGTCTTCTAACATCAGCCCAAGACTTGACAGTCATAGGCAGATTACAGTTACGTCCTTTACAGGTCTTCATCAACACACATCTCGGCGACCTACAACCATTCAGTCTACGGAACATCTCAGACCTCATCTACTATGGTGGACCAAGAAATCGAATGTCTCGCGAAGGGATCTGTTTAGCAGAGCAGGAATTCAAAACCCATTTATATGTAGGCGCAGCGTGCTCCAAGGTTGGGGAGCTCATCTCACCAACCAGGCGGCATCAGGGTTATGGAATCAGCTAGAAAGCAAGCTCCACATAAACTCATTAGAGATGAAAGCTGTAATCAGCGCCATAAGACATTGGAGCAACATTCTACAGAATGCGCACCTGATGATACGTGCCGACAACTTCGACAGTGGCGTTCTATGTGAACAGGCAAGGCTCAGCGAGATCGCCGAACCTTTTGACTTTAACCTTTCAACTGTTCGAATTAATCCAAGATCTAAATCTACATGTCAAAGCATGCCACATTCCCGAGCCAGGAATATACTAGCAGGCGCACTCTCTCGGCCACATCTACCGTCGCCCGACAGAATGGATGCTCAATACAGAGATATTTGCACAGATAATCAAGCAAATAGGGCCGCTAGTAGATCTATTAAGCCACAAGATTCAACAATCAACTACCGACATTACGTGTCACCAGTTCCAGACCCACAAGCATGGGCAACGGGCGCTCTAAGCATATCATGGGAAGGCCTCAATGCGTACGCGTTTCCGCCCCCAGCAATAATACCTCAAGTATTACAGAAAATCAGCCAAACACAGAGCCTACAACTCATTTTGGTCGCGCCCTACTGGCCGGCCAGAACGTGGTTTCCCGCTCTAATACAAGAAATCGGTCAACCGGCACTAGAGCTACCCAAGCGCTCAAAGCTGTTAATACATCCACACACCAAACAGGTGCACAGAAACCCAGAAGTATTCAAACTTCACGTATGGACTGTATTAAAATGTGTTTAAACAAGAGAGGATATTCTACCAGGGCGGCAAAAGCGGTCACGCTTGCCTTACGATACTCAACGCAGCGTACTTGTAATGCGGCGACAAATGGCACAGTTTTGAAAATTATGCAGCAAACAAGGGTTTTACAGCCAGAGATGCTACGCATCCTCAAGTGGCAGACTATTTGTGTTACTTTCGGGCAAAACAAACAATTAAAGGCTCGACATTGTCAACATATCTTGCAGCTTAGTTCTGTGATTTCTATGAGAGCGGGTGTTAAATTGACAAAACACCAGAGTTACTGGCCTTACTACGTGCTTTCCGATTGGAGGACCAAAAGCGGAAGTTCCACGCCCCAGCTTGGGATCTGAATGTAGTGCTACAAAACCTCACAAGTGAGGATTATGAACCATTGGAATCGACAACCTTTGAATTTCTCTCACAGAAAACAATTTTCCTGTTATCGCTAGCCACGGCAGCCATAATATCTGAAATTCACGCTCTAGATTATGAGAGGATACAGTTTGATGACAATCAAAACACAGCGCACCTGGGATTAAGATGGGATTTCATCGCCAAAAATCAACTACCAGGACAACCAGACAGGTTATTTCACGTCCCTGCGCTATCCTCGATTCTCGGATCTCAAGATACATTGGACTTATCTCTATGCCCAGTACGAGCTCTCAAAATCTATTTACGTCGTTCCAAAACAAGGCGAAGATCGCTCAGAAGATTGTTCATCCCGTTATCGCCTACTATTCAGACAGAAGTCTCTCGTACCACCATATCTATATGGATAAGAACTGTCATTCTACGCCACCTACAAGGCAGCAGGACTGGACCCTCCAACAGCATCAAATCCACATGAAATCAGGGCATTGGCCTCCACCCTCGCCCTTCACGGTAACTGTTCATTGAATACAATTATGGAAGGATGCTTCTGGAAATCTAACATGGTGTTTGCTAATCACTATCTGAGAGATATCACCACCGAGGACGTCTCTGGCATTCACCATTTCGGTCCTTTGGTCCTCGCTCAGCAACTGACAGTCCCTCGTAGGCGTTAATATTCACCCCCACGAGATTATTATGTATATTATACATACATTATTTAGCTTATAACTCCACGGAGTTCTAGGGCTATGTATATATTTAGCTTAGGTTATTCAACCTTAAGCTCATACTGAGTTTTATGTTCAGTTGTACAGCTTCTCTATCAGAGTAGCTTGTTATATCTATAATTTGGTATATCAGTCTATTAGTAATGTAATACCCCAGTTATGGTATATATAACCTATGGCTTATTATAAAGGAAATATCCTAAGTCAATGCCTTTATGAAGTTCCCGAGAGGGGTTATTACAGTATAAGTTATTTAAATCACTAATTATTAATCCAAAGTATTCTGTTTATGCCCACCACCACTCCGTGTGGATTCTACAAGCAAAGAGCATGAGTCAGGATAAGGAAAAATATGTAATTTTTGAGTAAAATTGATATTTTATACTTATCCTGACTCATGAGGTTAGCTCCTCCCATCCTCCCCACATAACACTTTGGATTTCCCTGTAAATTCAAGTGTTGGGCTCGCAAAATCAGGAGAGAGTGAAGCATGAGGCCAGAGGGTGGCGACACCTGTTCCCGCGCTTGCGGCAGGGGAGGCAACTCTTGGGTGAGTACCAATTAGTGATTTTACATTGAAGGGAGCTTCAATTAAGGAGATACAAGTGTTCCACTATGTTCGCAAGAGGAAGGGGACAAGCAAAAGAGCATGAGTCAGGATAAGTATAAAATATCAATTTTACTCAAAAAATTACATTTTTCACAAAATGTATAGCCTTTGTAGAAGGGGCAAGAAGTGGCCCAGAATTTCAGGCTTCTTGTTGTCCATACAAACTTCTCAGTTCAAGTAGATGACATCCAGTAACTCCCCAAACAGGTAACGTATCTTTGTGACAGATCCTAATGTATGTTTCCTTGATGCAGGTGGTGGTTGTTGGCGACCAGAGCTCCGGAAAGACAAGTGTCCTTGAAATGATCGCACAGGCCAGGATATTCCCAAGGTAGTTGAAACATTACTGATAATCTCATGCCAATTTCTGTGTTGTCTAAAGCAAGATAATTTTGTTTTTACTATACTGTCAGATTGGAAATATAGTCAGCTTCTGGGTAGCCTAGAGGTTTCAATTCTCCTACAAAATGTGACGGTTATTTCTGGTGTCCCATACCATGATGTTGCTGGAATATTGCTGAGAATAAACAATACTCACTGGAAATATGTATGTGTACAGTATTAGTCGTTAACGTTTGGCAATCTGATCTCGATCTCTCTCCCTACATCATTTCAGTGGATCAAAATAATTCTCAAAAAAATATCTCTGTTAAGCATAGGGTACTGTTAACGTATGGTATTCATTGGTTGGCATGGCTACCATGTGGTATCATGTTGTGTCTGGTATCTGTACGTTTCTCTAAATTCCCTCAACAGGGGCTCTGGTGAAATGATGACAAGGTCACCTGTGAAGGTCACGCTCAGTGAAGGCCCTTTCCATGTAGCAAAGTTCAAGGACAGCAACAGAGAATTTGACCTCACCAAAGAATCTGATGTAAGTGTGTTTGTGCATGTTTAGTTAACACCTTGCGAGTTAATATTAGATGTAAGAAGTTAAGAATTCAAACTTTCATGTAGAGAAACATGTTTCAGCCAACCCTTGTCCTACCAACCCCATGTATAAAACATTTGGAACAAATGATTTTGAAGGTTTATTGTGTTCAGGTGTATGTCATTACGTATAAGCCTGGATTATCTTCATTTTACGTTGATAAATACCCTAGACAACATTATAACAATACAATGCAAAACGTTTTCAACAATTTAAGGGGTCTGGTGGAATTTGAATTAAGTGACCCGTAACCCTTTTTTTTTTAAAAGAACGCAATCGCCTTAGACTTGTGTGGCAATTAAAGAAAATATATTTTACTACTGTACAAATCAAACAAACTATAAATATGGAAAACTGATGAGTCAAACTTCTGTTTAAATTTGTTACCCAGCAGTGAATGGGTACCAGGTGGGATAAGACTGTTGTATGACTTGTCAACTTTCTAGGACCTCAGGGGCATCTTGGGTTAACTGGGGTAAAAATATGTTTGCTCTTTGTGCATAATTTGTCCTCGCAGTACTAAGCATCTTTGAGGTACATATAAGGTGCTCTACAGATGTATTATATAGAAAATTGTTGTTTTTCAGCTGGCTGCCCTGAGACGCGAAGTCGAGCTGAGGATGAAGGCCAGTGTACAGAAGGGCCAGACAGTCAGTAATGAGGTATGCTCAATTTGTTGCATTCATAAAGGTTAGGATTGCCTATGAATTACCACTTATCCATTGTGCCCTTTCAAGAATAAAGCTGTGCAGAGTTGTCTCCCTTAGAATGTCCCTATTCAATAAACAAGACATTGTTATCCATAAAGTCACATTCTTCATGATATATTCATGACCTCTGGGTTGCTGATAATAAACAAATATTGTGGCATGTAGCATTTGGTCATTTGGAATTCTAAATACATGCTGTGTCACAAACTTTCAAGATGATCACTCATTGTAGGGCTTCCAGGTTACGATTGGACCCCAGCAATGTGTGTTTGTTTATGTTTGCCACAAGAGAGAAATAAATGGATTTGGTGGTTAGTGGCCAGATCATGAGTCATCTTGTGTTTGACATCGCTCACAATATAAAAATCTGATCAAGATTTGATACGGATGATGTCCTAAGCAGGAATATTGCAGAGTGCAGTGTTGATAACATCCAGATCCTGTTGATGGATTGTCGATGAGGCAGCATTAAGTTACAAACAAACAAACAAACAAACGTGCCCCTGTTGATGTTTATTTACTGTTGTCAGTGTATCTTCTCCTCTTCCTCCACAGTGCATCTCCATGTCAGTAGCAGGACCAGGCCTTCAGAGGATGGTTCTTGTAGACCTGCCCGGAATCATTTCTGTAAGTTGATGATAGAAATAACACTCTGTTTTATGAAAGTATTGAGATCTGAGTTAAAATATGAAGCATCTTGTCTCTGCAATATTGCTTAGTGTTGCATGAAAAACACTTAAAAATTGTCTGTCTGATTTTCTTGTATTGAACCAGTGGAGTGTTGATCACTGTCATGACAGATGTGGCGACAAGGACTATTTCCAGGTACAATCATGCATTAATTTGTGATTTAGAAACCACTGTTAACTGTTTTCTTGTGAAACGTGGAGAATCATGGTTGTTAGCTCAACTTGTAGACATGATTGGATGAGTGAGTGACTATGAGGAGGTGTGTGAGTGACTGATTGAATGGCACTGATTTGAATGACCCTTTGTTGCAATGACTTATTGTAATGCTGTTCCTTTATTATCCCCCTGGCATGTAATGTGGGGGATATATTGGACGGCTCGTCCGTCTGTCCGTTGGTCCGTCCACCTGTCCGTCCATAATCATTTTGTTTCCTGGAGCATAACTCAAAACCTGTTCAGTATTTTTCAACAAGACTTGGCAGATCTATCAAACAGAACCTAATGGGGTGCCTTTTGCTATTTACAGAATTTTGTCATATTTATTTTTCATGATTTCCATGGAAACATGTTGGACTTAGTCTCAAAAAGGAAGGGTGGGCTTCGTTTCCGGAGCACAACTCAAACACCTTTCAATATATTTTTACAGAACTTAAAAGATATATGAGACATACCCTAAAGAGGTGCCTTTTGCTATTTGCGGATTTTGGGCATTTTTATTTTTCTTGGTTTCCATGGAAATGGTTTGGACTTAGTCTCAAAAAGGAGGCAGATACCAAAATGGTGCCTTTTGCTATTTGCAAATATGTGGCATTTATGTTTTTCCAGGTTTCCATGGATACCATTCAAACTTAAAAAATCAACTTTGAGTAACTGTCAGATGATTTGTTTTATCAAATATGTGGTGGCCGGGGGGATTTGTCATCTTATTGTCATGACTCTGACCAATGGATAAAGCTATGGAATACAAGCAAGTTTTACAGTTCATAAACTTGATTAGGATTCATAAGAAGACCAAACTATCACTTAACATGCTAAATCCTGTCTCCTGTCTACTGCATCTGTTATGCTAATCACTTGAAATTGATTCAAATTGTCAACCTGCTCAAAATAATGGACTCAGGCCATTCCACTTCTTTTGTTCTCTTTTATGCCCATTTCTCAGGTTGCCTAGTTGTCTAAGGTTGAGCAGATCACCATGCAAAGATTATCGCTTTGGCACACAGAAACCTCTGACCAGTTTGGACCTTTGTTTTCCCTGACCATGTTTGTAGGATTTCAGTACCATACCTGGAGTAGCCTAGTGGTTAAAGTGTTCACTTGACACGCCGAAGGTCCAGGTTCGATTCCCCACATGGGTACAATGTGTGAAGCCCATTTCTTGTGTCCCCTGCTGTATACTGTTGGAATATTGCTAAAGGCGGCGTAAAACTACACTGACTCACTGACTCACTCACTGACTCACTCACTGACTCACTCACTCACTCACTCACTCACTCACTCACTCACTCACTCACTCACTCACTCACTCACTCACTCACTCACTCACTCACTCACTCACTCACTCACTCACTCACTCACTCACTCACTCACTCACTCACTCACTCACTCTCACTCACTCACTCACTCACTCACTCACTCACTCACTCGGTCGGTACCATACCTGTGCTCAATAGTTTCACTTATGTGTAAAACATGAGAGACCTGCAAGACTCCTTGCTCTCCTTCCACAGATATGACATACTGTGGCATTACTGGAATTCTGTTCAATATGGCTTTACGTTTAAGACTCTCATTTCGTAATTCACTGACTGTATGTTTGTTGACCAGACGGTGACGACCGGCATGGCGCCCGACACGAAGGACTCCATTAAGGGGATGTGCAAGTCTCACATGGAGAACCCCAACTCTATCATCCTGTGTATTCAAGGTAGAGTCAACATTTCTCTTCTTCATCTTGCACAACAAGAGAGAGGACATTCTCCTCACATTGTTTGGGAAGGAAAACCAAGTTCTACGGATAGTCAACTTCTTTATTTCAATGAGTGTGACGTTTCAGCATAGGTACTAACACCGTTATCAAGCAATTGATCACTTGCTTGATAACGGTATTAGTACCTACGCTAAAACGACCGCCTCCGTGGTGTAGTGGCTAGAGCGTCCGCCCGGAGAGCGGAAGATCGCAGGTTCGATCTCCAACCGCGTCATACCAAAAGACGTTAAAATATGGTACTTGTTGGTCCCTGCCTGGCGCTCGGCATTAATGGGTACAACAAGGACTGGTCGGCTCGGAATCAGTATAATGTGTCTGAGTGGGGTATTCATGCTTCACTGCGGCATGGTATCTCAGTGGGCTAGCACTATAAAAACCAGCTTCAGTCTGGGCTAGTAAAAGCAGCCAGACATACACATACACACGCATGCACGTCGTCATATGAGTGAAATATTCTCAAGCACGACGTTAAACCCAATTTCACCTCACCTCACCTACGCTGAAACATCGCACTCCTTGCAAAAAGAAAGTTGACTATCCATAGAACTTGGTTTTCCTTCATCTTTACAACTTCTAAGATGCCTCTCAAAGAACTTATTGTTTGGGAAGCATATCTTTTGTTCCAGAATTGGTTGTTCTCGTTCTGAAATCATAATGTTCATGGCACTGTTAATCCTGTGAACATGATGGCAGTGCTAGTATTTATCAGGACTGAAAGTACGAACCGATCAAATACCTGTCCTTCTTCTGCAAGAGTCTTTGCCGGTGCTTCACATTCAAAGCTTTGAACTTCTTTGAGTGGCAGTTTAGAAGTTGGAGAGTACAATATTTATTTCGAAATAAAAGAAGTTGTTCTCCATAGAGTTTGTTCAATATTTTAAGCTTTTATGAATATTTTAGAGATAGCAAACTTGGAAATTGAAGTGTGTTGTCATGCTAACAGTTTGCTACCATTAGATGTGGATCATATCATATATGAGAATTATTAATTATCAGAAATTGCACAATATCATTCAAATTTTGGCCATTAACTGATAAATGCAAATAGATTTGGAAAAAATTGTGAAATTTGTGCCATTCAGAAATGTAGAGGTACACTGTTTATAATACAGTGTACATTGTCAATAGTGTGACAGGCCAACCTGTTGCCCATAGTGTGGTGACAGAGAACAAATGGTAAATGGAGGAGAGAATATGATAGCCACAATGACTTAGTCAATTGCTACTAACTCTGTCCTTGATCAGCTCATGGATTGTCACTTACTTTCATACCCAGAGTATGTCTCAAACTAATGTCTGCAAGAAGACTACATAAAGATTACATACTAGTAACTACATTTCTGTGTGGAACATGCAGGGATTTACAGGACGCGAATTCCTGCGTCCTATACGCTTAAAAATTGACAATGGACGCAACCAAATTTATTAGCGCATCCACAAATACTATTTGTAAAACTTCCAATCCAGTGACAATACGTTATCACTGAGTTTGCTACTAGCTGGGCTATGGTATTATTTGCAATTTAATTACTGTAACAATGTGATGATCATGATACACAATACAATAACAGTATTGATAATAATATTTAAGTGTCTGGGACCCCCATTTGGTTGTCCAGGACCGCAGAAAATTTAGAGTATGAGTCCCAGGGACACACAAATACAGGACTCCATGTAAATCACTGGACACTTACATACACACGCATGCAAGTTGTCATATGAGCGAAATATTCTCAAGTATGACGTAAAACTCAATTTCACCTCACCTCACTTACATATATAGCTATTATATGGCACATGCACTCACTCACCCACCCACCCACCCACTCACTCACTCACTCACTCACTCACCTATACTATAGCAAAATTGCAAAATATGATCCACAAGAGGCACTCATAAAATCGTCCTCATCCAAACACCAGTGATGTAAGAGACTGTAACTGTCCTGCAGATGGGTCCCTGGATGCGGAGCGGAGCAATGTGACGGAGCTGGTCAGTCAGATGGACCCCAAGGGGAAGAGGACCATCTTTGTGTTGACCAAGGTGGACCTGGCAGAGAGCAGCTTGTACAACCCAGACAGGGTAGGCATGTCTTCAGTGTGTTACCAGACGCTGGAGCTGATCCTTTTTTGATAATTGATATCTACAAATGTAGGCTATTTACTTGATTAAGTGTCAGGTCTTGATTAGACACAGACCCTTGATTAGACACAGACCCTTGATTAGGCACAGACCCTTGATTAGACACAGACCCTTGATTAGACACAGACCCTTGATTAGACACAGACCCTTGATTAAACACCAGGTCTCCAATATATGCCATTTATTGATTTAACACCAGGTGCTGTGTTCTGCTTGGATTCTACCCAATTTATCTTTGCAATTAAACTCTGGGGTAAAAGTGTCTGAAACAGGCTTTAATTGAGGAAATAGAGTAGTAATACTTTAGTCATTATTTATGTTACATTATTCTCAATATTTGCTGACTTTTTGTCCTAAGCCAATTTTGAACCATTATAATGCATAACTTCATAATGGCAACATGGAGGTTTCAGATTACGTCCCTTTGTAAGTGCTGTCTTTAGAAAAGGCGAAAATAGGTCTTTATTTCACTGGAAAGTGGGGCTGTTTCAAGACCATCGCTAATTTAAGCATGCCGTTTCATGGCTACAGGGAGTGACCTTTTTCTCCCTCCCGAATAAGATCAGGGCATCAACTCTCCGGAGAAGATGGATTAAACTAAATTTAGTGGGTTTGGCCACGCGTCTATGAATAGATGCAATGAAGCCATATCATCGGGAGTCATTAGTGCTGGTAAACCAAGTTCAACTGCCTTAATTGCCAACTCATGCGGTTCTGCCAAAGTGTAATTTGACACAGTCATACCCTTTGCCGTTAGTAATGATCTTAATTCAGGTTTCAGCATTGAATTGATACATTTGGTATTACCTGACATTGAGACACTAAAACACAGCCCCACCTTACGGTTTCTTGCACAACCTATTTGCGCCTCCCAACGCAGAAGAGAGACATCTCGAAACCTCAATATTGACTGAACCGGTATAGCAAATATTTTACTTCTAAATTTTTAATTTTTCATCACAAAATTGTGTTGTCTGTTTTGAATGTGAATGTTGAACTGCAGCTTGTCCTCATGGCTATACAATAACCACAGTTCTACATCCATCCTCGCGTGTTTCCTAAATCTGTCCAACTTTTGTTTCCAGATTAAATCTATTTTAGAAGGACGACTTTTCCCTATGCAAGCTCTGGGCTACTTCGCTGTTGTCACTGGAAGAGGTAGGAGTGTTATTGCTCTGTGTGGGAGTTTACTCCATTCCACAAGGTTGAACAAACAGCATCTGGGTTGTTCATTATATGAAAACCTTTATTAAAAGTATTGTGCTTTGTACACCATGTATGTGTTAAGCCTATTTCTGGTGTCCTTGGCTCTCACGTGATGATATTGCAATATTGCTAAAAGCTGCATAAAACTAAACTCTGTCAGTCAGTCAGTTGTACACCATGTGGCATAACATTATTTGACAGCTATTGAAAGCCTTGTATGCCTTCACTCCTTGGCTCATTCCCACTCACTGATTCATTTCACTCACTCACTTGCCCCTTCCATCCACCCACTCTCTCACTCACTCACTGCCCGGCCCATCCATCTACTCTCTCACTCACTCACCCACTCACTCCCATCCACCTACTCTCTCACTCCTTGCATCCATCTTCCCACTCACTCACCTACTCACTTGCCCATCCATCTACCACTCCACTCACCCACTCACTTGCCCATCCATCTACCCACTCTCTCACTCACTCTGCCCGGCCCATCCTACCCACTCTCTCCATCTCTCTCACTCCGCCAACTCACTCTCCCATCCATCTACCCACTCTCTCACTCACCCACTCACTTGCCCATCCATCTACCCACTCTCTCACTCACCCACTCACTTGCCCATCCATCTACCCACTCTCTCACTCCATCCACCTCACTCACCCGCACTCACTTGCCCATCCATCTACCCACTCTCTCTCACTCCATCCAACCACTTCTCTCACAAGCCTTCTTGCCCATCCATCCATCTCACTCACTCATTTACTTCTACATATCCATCCACCCACTCTCTTCACTCACCCACTCACTTGCACCCACTCTCTCACTCACCCACTCACTCTGCCCATCTACCCACCCTCCGCACCCTCTGCCCATCCATCCACCACCCACTCTCTCACCTCCACCGACTCACTTGCCCATCCATCTACCTCACTTGCCCATCCGCTCACTCCACTCTCTCACTCACTCCCACTCTCACTTTGCCCATCCATCTACCCACTCTCTCACTCACCCACTCACTTGCCCATCCATCCATCCACCCTCCACTCACCCACTCTACTCTCTCACTCACTCCATCTACCCACCCTTCATCTACCCCATCTCTCTCACTCACCAACTCTCTTGCCCATCCATCTACCCACCCACTCTCTCCACTCACTCATTTACTTATCTACCCATCAAATTACTCTCATTTCACTCATTAACTCCACCACTCACTCATTTCACTCACAAGCACAGGCACCCACTTATCCGTCACCCACTCACTCACTCACTTATCCGTCACCCACTCACTCTCCTGGTTTTATTCATTTCCAGGCAATACCAATGACAGTATAGCAAGTATCAAAGACTACGAGGATCGATTCTTCAGAAACTCACGGCTCTTTAAGTAAGTCTCTGTAAATGTATTCAGTATATTTCATTTGTAACCATAAGCAATAGAAAGCCTGAGGGGTGTCGCTATATGTCTACATCATGTATTGCTATACCATGTTTCCATGAATTCACAATGTTATTCAAAGATAACAGTAAATGAGAAATTCTCCTCTTGGATCGGCTTATCCTGTGTCTATTGACAAGTGTGATATTGGATAGAACTGATATTGTTGACTCTTGACAACCCTCCTTAAGATATTGTCAATCTTTTAATCTGAACGGAGCGGTGGGGTAGCCTAATGGTTAAAGCATTGGCTCGTCACGCCGAAGACCCCGGTTCGAATCCCAACATGGGCACAATGTGTGAAGCCCATTTCTGGTGTCCCCCGCCCTGATGTTGTTGGAATATTGCTAAAAGCGGAGTAAAACCAAACTCAGTCAGTCAGTCAGTTTAATCTGAACATGGGTCACAGGTTAACTTAACTTCCTAGGACTTCATGTTCATGCTATCTACCACTGGTTTGGCTGAATAATATTTGACTATATACAGGTTCTAATATAGCTGAAATATTTCCGACTGATTTAGTGCTAAGATTATTATTTGTCAAACGGGTGTCTAAATGAATACTGTATGAATCTCTTTAACGTGTTTGACGTGTCAAAGTATGTTTGACATTGTTCATAACATCAACCTCTGGTTTAGCCTGGTCCTGTTTCTGTTTATACAACTACAAGCATATTGCTTCAACCATCCATTTAAACCTGCATCAGCAATATGTGTAAGAGTTATCTGCTCCTGACAGAGACGGCGTGTTGAAACCCACTCAGATGACGACACAGAACCTCAGCATGGCTGTGTCTGACATATTCTGGAAGATGGTCAAGGAGACGGTGGAACAGCAAGCTGATGCCTTCAAAGGTAAGCATTGTTGCATATATAAACTGTTGTTGTCCAAAAGCCACATTCCACAATACACAATACACATAAGGCAATGGTGATATTGGCTCACTCATTAAAGCTGTAAGATTATCAAGAGCACCTTTGGAAATGGTCTCATCACTTTGACTATAATATGTCTTAACATGGATAGTTGCATCAGACATACTGAGCGCTTTGATTGACATGAAAGCATATTTAAGATTGGGTAAGATACGATTATCAATAGCCAGCCAAAATCATCATACAAGCCTAGACATCAAAGAAATATAATTTGCTTTGCATTCTTTCCACTGGAAATTGATTTCCTTTTTTTAACAGCCACAAGATTCAACCTGGAGACGGAATGGAAGAACACATTCCCTCGCATCAGGGAATTGGACAGGGTAAGATAACGCTCCTTACTGTCATCATCATCATCATCAGCAGCAGCAGCAGCAGCAGCATCAACCAAAGCTTCATGTACACTTTCTAGACACTTTGCCTGATACCTTATTCACTGAAGATTTGAGTACTTTCTGAATTTGGCATCTGCTCTCATTCTAAATCACCTGGTACAGTTTGCCCTGTCTACTGAAGCACTGCAATGTGGTGCGCAGAGTTGCCTCCCTTGGGAGCACCAGGAACTTGTGATTGTGGGTTCACATTCTGGTTCACCCTGAATATGTTTCTAGATTTATTTAGGACTTGACCTTGTTCATGCGCTTGATCAAAGCAGTAAACATCTTAAGACTGCTTATATTTATATGATATGATATCCTGGGTACGCTTCATTACATCTTAAGACTGCTTATGTTTATATGATATGATATCCTGGGTGTGCTTCATTACATCTTAATCTGTTTTCTGACAGAACGAGCTGTTTGAGAAGGCACGGGGTGAGATCCTCGATGAAGTTATAAATTTGAGTCAGGTTACTCCAAAACAGTGGTAAGTGCAGACAAAGCTAGAGATCCTTTGATAAGAACAAACACTGTAAACTTTAATTCACATTAATTAACTCTAACTCTCTCATCCACTTAAATGTGCAGCAGTTGAGTTTCCTTGTATGTTTTGACAATTATATTTGATATAAAGATCTACTGTATCATGTTAATATTATACAGTAAACTACGGTTGAAATGAACAGGGATACAGATTTTTGTTTGTAAAACCCTGTAGTTTGTTATGCACAATTTGGCTTAATATCCTGGAAGTGGCAAGGACCAAACACTCAGTTAGTTTTATCTGTCAGTTAGCTATTGTTGTATACACAGTTAACTGTGTTTTATAATTTAATCATTAGGACAGTTGTTACCACTGAGTGCCGGCTTCCTCCTACAATACACTCAGTCTACCACCATGAACGTGTCTTGTGTTCTTGTTGGCAGGGAGAATATTTTCTACAAGAAGTTGTGGGAGAAGAATGCCACGCACGTACTGGAGAACATCTACCTACCAGCAGCCCAGGCCGAGAACTCTGGGTAAGAGTACCACAAGCACTAGCTGTGTGTTCATAGAGACAGATTATTGTCTATACTCACTCACTCACTCACTCACTCGACCGCCTCCATTGTCTGAGTGGGGTATTCATGCTTCACTGCGGCGTGGTACCTCAGTGAGCTAGTACTGTAAAACCAGCTTAAGTCTGGGCTAGTACAAGCAGCCATACATACACATACACACGCATGCACGTCATCACATGAGCGAAATATTCTCAAGCACGACGTTAAACCCAATTTCACCTCACCTCACCTCTCACTCACTCACTCACTCACTCACTCACCCACTCACGGTTGTCATTTAGCTGGAATACTGCTGAATGCGCTGGTAAACAATTCCATATTCATTCACTCATTCCTTTACTTTTCACTCACTCCATTTCCCCTTCACGCACTCCTTCACTAATTCCTGCTTAACTCCTTCACTTTCCCTTTACTCATTTATTCACACACTGACTATAGTACTTTTGTTGTTACAGGACCTTCAATACTGCTATAGACATCAAGCTTAAGGCATGGGCCGATGTGCAACTTCCAAAACGATGTGTTGAGGTATATCTATATCACTCTCCTTACGTTGCAAGAATTATATTCAGTGTTGTTCTGTGTTGCCTGCCACTGGCTGGTGATAATATTAAGATATGGTCCAGACAGTCACATTTTAAGATGGTGGAAAGAAATGTTCAGAGGTCAGCATCACTGACCCAGAACTTCAAGATAGGTGAAGATTTTGTTCTTCAATCAACAATAGCTAATATATACTTCCCATCAAAAGTTTAGACTCCCTAGTGTAAACATAGCTTACTTCAGTTCTAAACTAAATTTTGCAAAATATTACATACAGTTTAAAGGTACTGTTTACACATGAACAGATGTATTGTAATCAAATTTGTAACTTTGAAAAGATTATTGTCATGAGTTCAATAAATGATGAGTGAAAATTGGCAAATACTTAACAAAACTTTACTCCAAGACGCAGCTGTTCACATGCATATTTGCAATGCTTTTCAGCAATTTGATGCATGTTCCTCTTGCAGTTCATGTGCATAAAGTTTGTAGTTGGTTCCCCCAAGTCAGTGGAGAAATCAATCTTCGATGTAACCATGTATATATACATAACGTATGGTGAGTGTTTTAGGTGAGTCTAAACTTTTGATGGGAAGTATGTTTTCTGCTTGTTGAACCCATTGATTGATCACTTTCCTTGGTCTGTCAACATGATGCTTATGTGTATCAGGGTAACACCAACCTGGCCAATGCCTTTATCAACCCGGTAAGGTCCGGGTTAGAATTGGCCTTCAATAACCCATGCATGGCATAAGAGGCGACTAACGGATCAGGTGGTCAGGCTCGCTGACAGAGTTGATACATGTCATCATCATTACATAGATCGATGCTCATGTTGTTGAGGGGCGGTGGGGTAGCCTAATGGTTAAAGCGTTGGCTCGTCACGCCAAAGACTCGGGTTCAAATCCCCACATGGGCACAATGTGTGAAGCCCATTTCTGGTGTCCCCCGCGGTGATGTTGCTGGAATATTGCTAAAAGTGGCGTAAAACCAATCTCAGTCAGTCAGTCAGTCAGTCAGTCAGTCATGTTGTTGATCACTAGATTGTCTGGTCCAGACTGGATTATTTACAGACTGCCACCATATAGCTGGAATATTGCTGAGTGCGGTGTTAAACAACAAACAAACAAAACTGAGATGTTTTGCTGAGAGTTCTTCACTGAAATACAGTTAAGCAACTCACTCACTGTAATGGCTGGTTTCAGGTCGGGTGGGAGACTCTACATGAAGAGTTTGAGAAGCTGGTTGGCCGAGACCAAGACAAGAAGCACCATGATGACATCTTTAACCAACTCAAGTCTGCCGTCATTGAGGGTTCCAAGGACCGACACAAGTGGGATGAGAAGGCAGAGCAGAGTCTGGTGAGTTGATGCCCAGAGTCAGATGATGTATGTGTCGGAGAGTAATCTACGTGTGAGGCAGAAAGTAATCTACGTGTGAGGCAGAAAGTAATCTAAATGTAACCTGTGTAAGAAACCAACCTTTGGTGTATCAAAAAGGAACCCACCTGTGTTTCAGAGAGTAATGTATGTGGCTGAGAGATTAATATGAGTGTTTTATAGTGTAGTCTACCTGTGTTTCAAATAATATGTATGTTTGTTTCAAAGTTATCTACCTTTGTGTCAGAGTTATCCACTTTGTTTAAGAGAGATATCTATCTTTGTGTCAGAGTAATCTCCTTTGTTTAAGAGAGTTATCTACCTTTGTGTCAGCGTTATCCACTTTGTTACAGAGAGTTATCTACCTTTGCGTCAGAGTAAACCACCTTTGTTTCAGAGAGTTATCTACCTTTGTGTCAGAGTAATCCACCTCTATTTCAGAGAGTTATCTATCTTTGTGTCAGAGTAAACTACCTTTGTTTCAGAGAGTAATCCAGGTGAACATCTTGGAAGACCGGTCTGTGACTGACAAGCGACACTGGGATGCTGCAATCAAGTTTATGGAGGACACCTTGAAAGAAAAACTGAAGCAGTGTGAGTATTTACTGTATTGTCAAGGCAGTATAGGCACCTAGTGGATAAACTGTATCTGTGGCCCAGGTTCCTGGAGTGTAACTGTGGCCCAGGTTCCTGGAGTGTATCTGTGGCCCAGGTTCCTGGAGTGTAACTGTGGCCCAGGTTCCTGGAGTGTAACTGTGGCCCAGGTTCCTGGAGTGTAACTGTGGCCCAGGTTCCTGGAGTGTAACTGTGGCCCAGGTTCCTGGAGTGTATCTGTGGCCCAGGTTCCTGGAGTGTATCTGTGGCCCAGGTTCCTGGAGTGTAACTGTGGCCCAGGTTCCTGGAGTGTAACTGTGGCCCAGGTTCCTGGAGTGTATCTGTGGCCCAGGTTCCTGGAGTGTATCTGTGGCCCAGGTTCCTGGAGTGTATCTGTGGCCCAGGTTCCTGGAGTGTAACTGTGGCCCAGGTTCCTGGAGTGTGGCCCAGGTTCCTGGAGTGTAACTGTGGCCCAGGTTCCTGGAGTGTAACTGTGGCCCAGGTTCCTGGAGTGTATCTGTGGCCCAGGTTCCTGGAGTGTAACTGTAGTGTAACTGTGGCCCAGGTTCCTGGAGTGTATCTGTGGCCCAGGTTCCTGGAGTGTATCTGTGGCCCAGGTTCCTGGAGTGTAACAGCCATGTTTGATTGAATGTCATCAGTTTGATCTGATCTCAAGATTAGATAAAGTTTGTTTATTCGATGCTGTATTTCACAGTCAGCTGTATTCAATCTAAGACAGTGAGTTCAGTACATTGTAGAGATTAGAACATACTAGTGGTGGACAGTACGAGCATCAACAATGTCATTGACTGAAGTCAACCAACTCTCACTGCCTTGACTTGTATGGAGTCTTTGAAGGGCATTTAGAAGTGATACACATACAGGCAAGAATTTTATGGATGTCAACTTCTTTATTGTGAAGGGTCACGACATTTCGAAGTATATCCTACTCCTTCATCAGGTGAATGAAACAATTAGGAACAGACAGCTATATATGTACATGTTGAAACAACAACAGGTATGAGATAACAAGGAAAACCAGTAGTTAACTGGTAGATGGACAAGTGGAAGCCAGGGATTGCTAATCCAGGCCTGATTTCAATAACAAAGGTGGGGCGGTGGGGTAGCCTAGTGGTTAAAGCGTTGGCTCGTCTCGCCGAAGACCTGGGTTCGAATCCCCACATGGGCACAATGTGTGAAGCCCATTTCTGGTGTCCCCTGCAGTGATGTTGCTGGAATATTGCTAAAAGCGGCGTAAAACCAAACTCAGTCAGTCAGTCAATAACAAAGGTGGCAATTTAACAAGGGACAAGAAAAAAACAAATAGAAGCCAGGGGGATATAATTAGCACTAACTTGGTGGAAGGACAAGTAGAAGCCAGGGATTGTTAATCCAGGCATAGTTGATGAGGTAACAATAGTGGCATATAACAGGGGGTAAGAAAACAAATGGAAGCCAGGCCTAAAAGTATTAATTACAATGAGTTGTATGATTCAATAATGTTTTGGTCACTAATGATACACTTTGGATTATAAATATATTACTATAATATAATTCTGAAGGTGGTGTACATCTCATACTTCTAGTACCAAGGAAGCTCCATTGGTGACACGGGTAGTTGTCAGGGTTAAGGGAGGTTCACTGTATTCATGTGGGGAATAAAACTGAAGCTTCAGTGGCACTGTCAAACACATGATTAGGCTTACCACCCACTATGTCAAATCAGTAATTTAATTTAAAAACTAGTTCTATAGTAGTGGTGGTCCGATTAATTGAAATAATCGAAGATTGGTCGTTGGTATTGAACCAATCATCAATTGTGAGATTTCAACCAATTCCCAACACTGTTCTATAGTTAGTGTTACGTGACTGTGTTGGGAAGATCATGTGTGTGTGTTCGTGTAACAGCGGAGGACTCGCTGCGGAAGCTGACCGGTCCAAGTTCGATGGATCAGTGGATGTACTGGCAGCGACAGACGCAGGACAACAAGGACAGGTCCGCCGCCAAGAGTGAGCTGGAGAAGCTCTTCAGCACAAACCCAGTGAGTAGGACCAGCCACCATATGTTAACACTATCAGTATAGTACTGCAATGCTTGAAACAGTGAAATGGTATTGCAGGAACTTCAGACATGGATTTCGTTGTATTGGGTATCTAAAGACATAACGATTGGTTGGTTTGTTCAACACTGCACTCAGCAATATTACAGCTATGTGGCGTTGGTCTGTAAATTATCGAGTTTGTACCAGCCAGTAGAGTGATCAACAGCATGAGCATCGATCTACACAACTGGGATACGATGACATGTGTTGACCAAGTCAGCGAGCCTGACACCTGATCCCGTTAATTGCCTCTTACAACAAGCATGGGTTGCTGTAGATCAGTTCTAATCTGGATCTCCACAGGTTTTAAATACATAAGGAGGCAGAATAGAAATAGTATCATCATCATGGGATATAGGTTCAACTGGGAGTATATCCCAGGCATTCCACGAGCTATGTCTCAGTTTCTGTTCTATGTTCCAGCACCACAAGTCCCACCTGTCCGGCGATGAACTGACCACAGCAAGGAAGAACCTGCAGAGTCACAACGTGGATGTCACCAATGACTTCGTAAGTGATCATATGACTGAGGTCTGGTTGATTTATTACATGCTCTAGGGGCACAGTTGGTGCAGTCATCTGAGGTGAGGCGCTTTTTTGAGTTTGGACCAACAGAAATGCCAAAAATAACCCATGCTCATGGTTTTGAATCCCAGAATGGCTGTGATTTTGGTTTGTCAACTCACGCATTTCACCAAAAGAATCAAGACTTTTACTTTGGGCTTTCCTACAGCTTGAAAGTGATAATTGCAATAATAATAATAGATTGGACATTTATATAGCACATCATATCCAGAGATATCCCTGCTCAAGAGTGCTTAGTCATATGCTCTAGAGAAAAGGACGGTATCAGGGTGGAACGACGGGACTGTTAGCAGTCGTGATATGACTGAAATACTATTCAGAGCAACATTCACACCCAAATTATTGAAGTTATATTACCATACAATGTACATATTTTCATGCTGTATGTCAACAAGTCTTCTGTGTATGTCATCAAATTTGACTGTTATGAATGAATTATAGGTGAGAAATCCTGAGGTATTTAAGACAGTATTAAATAATCTGGTAATTGTAAAATCACCAACAACCTTCCATATTACCACCACACAAGGGGGGACACACACACGGACACAGAGACACACGGACACAGAGACACACGAACACGGAGACACACGGACATGGAGACACACGGACATGGAGACACACACACGGACACAGAGACACACGGACACGGAGACACACGGACATGGAGACACACACGGACACAGAGACACACGGACAAAGAGACACGAACACGGAGACACACGGACATGGAGACACACACACGGACATGCAGAGACACACGGACATGGAGACACACGGACATGGAGACACACACACACAGGACATGGAGACACACACACACACGGAGACACACACACGGACACAGAGACACACACGGACACAGAGACACACAAACATGGAGACACACACACATGGACACACGAGACACATGGACACACACACACGGACATGGAGACACACGAACATGGAGACACACATGGACACACACACACACAGACACAGAGATGACAACAAGGAGACACACGGACACAGAGACACACACACACACATGGAGAGACACACACATGGAGACACACACGGACACACACACACGGACATGGAGACACACGGACATGGAGACACAGACATGGAGACACACACACGGACATGGAGACACACGGACACAGAGACACACGGACATGGAGACACACACATGGACACAGAGACACACGAACACGGAGACACACGGACATGGAGACACACGGACATGGAGACACACACACGGACACAGAGACACACGGACACGGAGACACACGGACATGGAGACACACGGACATGGAGACACACATGGAGACACACACACACGGACACAGAGACACACAAACACAGAGACACACACTCATGGAGACACACACACGGACACACGGTCTGTCATTAAGGAGAACAATCTTATCGGTGGTACATTCTGGCCATGAACATCTTGTGTCCTTGTTTGATAAGGAAGTACCTCTGTTCCTCTTTCAGATCCGAGAGACTTGGTACTATGTGTTCCGGCTGAACTTCTTCAAGAAGGCTCTGTACCAAGCCCAGCAGTGTAAGAAGGGCTTCTACTACTACCAGAGAGGATTCTCAGAGTCCGGGGTAAGTTAAGGGAGTCAGAGATATCTGACATTTTACTCTCTTACAGAGTTTCCGTATATCACTGTCTTTCATGCGACTCTCTCTCCCCTAAAAACCTTCTAAAATGATGCTAATTTATATAAATCGTCTTTAAGTCAATCTGGAACAAAGCATATCACCTGCACATACAAAATCCTTACGTTTGCAGTGACAATATGTATGTCTTCTGCTGCTCTATACTGTGATTCGTCTCACAGAACTCCATTGGATGGCGCCGATTGGAGGGTTGACAGAGTGACACCAAATTAGTGACCAAAATGTGATATAGGAGATCTTCTACCCAATGCATAAGGCGATTCCCCTTAATCCCTTCTACTTCTAGATATGAAAGACTTGCTTAATACACAACAATATATGGTAGCACATGAAATGTGGGATGAGGCTGACATCCTCCGACGAAACACAAGTAATACAAACCGACATGGTCATGAGACATCTCTGCAGGCCGGTACAGTTGGTTAATCTTTAGGACAATACCAGGATATTTCTAGGCCTGCTCAGATTCGATCTTCTGTGCCAAGTCTGCATCTAATGTCAGAATTCCGAAACTGGAATTGCATTGATAAGTAATTCAACTTGAACCCCCTGGTCTTTTAGAGAGGTCCTGTGGCTTTCGGCCTATGGCCTATTTTACTGAAACCAGAATTGTGAAAATGGAAGAGCTGTGATGTATTGCTGTACATTGTTGTATTGAATGCAGTGTCACAGTAATCTTATACAGTGTGGACTTGGTTTTAGTTACTAATTTGGATGACGGGATAAAATCAGGGCTGTTTCCATATGTATTCAATAGGTAGTGTGTTGTCAAAGTGGATGTTAAAGGGAGATAACTGCAGGTATTGATATATGGAACCAAGTGCCATATTGATGTGCACTAAAGGTAGAATATTTGAGAGGGTAATGAATGTTGATGATATACCAGTATTGTCCTTGTGTTGGTAATGATATATGGAATCAAGTGTCATATTGATGTGCACTAAAGGTATTGTGTTACCAGTATTGTCCTTGTTGGTAATGATATATGGGATCAAGTGTCATATTGATACGCTCTAGTAGTTGAACCTTTGGGAGGGCAATGGAAGTTGATGTTACCAGTATTGTCCTTGTGTTGGTTCAGCTGGAGTGTCACGACGTTGTGCTGTTCTGGAGACTACTGCGGATGTTGGAAGTGACAAGCAACTCCCTGCGGCAACAGGTTGTCAATAATGAAGGTGGGTGTCATCTCTAACTCACTCACCTCAGTGGGTTCAGAGTAATAGTGAACAGTATGGCCTCTGTATTCACCTGCATTTCAACTGTGGGGTGAGGTGAAATTGGGTTTTACATCGAGATTGAGAATATTTCGCTCATATGACGACGTGCATGCGTGTGTATGTGTATGTGCGGTTGCTTGTACTAGCCCAGACTTAAGCTGGTTTTATAGTGCTAGCCCACTGAGATACCATGCCGCAGTGAAGCATGAATACCCCACTCAGACACATTATACTGACTCCAAGCCGACCAGTCCTTGTTGTACCCATTTATGCCGAGCGCCAGGCAGGGACCAACAAGTACCATATTTTAACGTCTTTTGGTATGACTTGGTCGGGGATCGAACCCGCGACCTTCCGCTCTCTGGGCTGACGCTCTAACCACTACACCCCGGAGGCGGTCCCATTTCAACTGTACATTCATGTAGGATGTGTGTATATTCTTCTTGTGTGTCTGTTGCCATCTGTGTCTATTTCTTCAGTGGTCAACTGTTTCTCTTTCTGTGTGCTAGCCTGTGTCTGTGTGCAAACCTGTGTCGTGGCCATCTGTGTCCATTTGTATTTATCCATTCGACTGTGTACACCTGTATTTGGACCCGTGAATATCTGGTTCAGAATCCCTCATGCTTATCATGAGAGGCGACTATCGGGATCGGGCTCGCTGATTAGTTGACACATGTCATCGTATCCCAATTACATAGATTGATGCTGGTGATGATCACTGGATTGTCTGGTCCAGACTCGATTATTTAAAGACCGCCGCCATATGGCTGGAATATTGTCGAGTGTTGCATTAGCAACAAACCAACCAAACCAACAACACCTGTGTCTGTGTGTTCGCCTGTGTCTGTGTGTTCGCCTGTGTCTGTGAGTTCACCTGTGTCTGTGTGTTCAGCTGTGTCTGTGTTCACCTCTCTGTGTGTTCACCTCTGTGTGTGTTCACCTGTGTCTGTGTGTTTACCTGTGTCTGTGTGTTCACCTGTGTTTGTGTGCTCACCTGTGTCTGTGTGTTCACCTCTCTGTGTGTTCAACTGTGTCTTGTGCTCACCTCTCTTTGTGTTCACCTGTGTATGTGTGTTCACCTCTCTGTGTGTTCACCTGTCTGTGTTCACCTCTCTGTGTGTTCACCTGTGTCTGTGCGTTCACCTCTCTGTGTGTTCACCTGTCTGTTCACAAACCTGTGTTCACCTGTGTCTGTGTGTTCACCTGTGTCTGTGTGTTCACCTGTGTCTGTGTGTTCAGCTGTGTCTGTGTGTTCACCTGTGTCTGTGTTCACCTCTCTGTGCGTTCACCTGTGTCTGTGTTCACCTCTGTGTGTTCACCTGTGTCTGTGTGTTCACCTGTGTCTGTGTTCACCTGTGTCTATGTGTTCAGCTGTGTCTGTGTGATCACCTCTCTCTGTGTTCACCTGTGTCTGTGTGTTTGTGTGTTCACCTCTGTGTGTTCACCTCTGTGTGTTCACCTGTGTCTGTGTTTTCAGCTCGGCGCGGCTAGAACGGATCATCAAGGACACGCTGGAAGATCTCGGGGAGGACAAGGAGCGGCTGGAGAAACTCCTCACAGGGAGACGGGTTCTGCTGGCCGAGGAACTCAGTGAGTACTGCTTCAAACACCCAGAGTATTGCTGAGAGATGCTTTCAACACCAAATAATTAGACATCCTATAGTTTTACAATAAATAAAATTATAATAATACCTTTATTTAATTTTGTTCAATTTGTTTCAGAAAAAGTTCGACAAATCCAAGATAGATTAGAAGAATTCATTCAAGCATTGAACAAGGAGAAATAGTGCATAATCTTTGTAGGATAACTAAATCATCCCGACCCGGTTGCAGTGAAGACAGGAAGTTTGCAACACGTGCAATGAAAGGGACTGACAAGTCATAAACAAACCATTGTCTATGGACGACTTGGACAGTGATGAAACTATGGTGTGCCATGTTGGGTTCTGACAGACTGGCAGATCAACTTTCTCTATAGCAAGGCCATGAGATGTCTACCCTTGAAAATGGCTGTGCTTAAGTGCTATATATCATGTAGGGTGTGTGTGGAAGAGTGATGTAGCTAGGTCTGCAGAATGATGAAGCCATTAGATTTACAATGTGACTATTATTTATGACTGTTTTCTCATCGTGTGCGTCGTTCCTGTTTATCAGGGACATTCATTCTGGCGTCCATTCCTTGTCCGGATCAATTCCTGCAGCATCAGCCATGTTGTGATGATGTATTGGATCTAGATGATGCCAGATTAGTGTTGTAGCTTCAGGACATTAGGTGTGAAAATTCAGGAAATGCAGTTCCATAAACATTTATGCTTGTATAGTGTTTTGATTTATGAAAGCAGATTCATAAATTAGGACCGAGGGTTTGATAATGGCTGGATGGAGAGTGTATTTGATAAGTAATAAGTCATCCCTAAAAAGGGGCGATTCGATTCCCCACATGGGTACAATGTGTGAAGCCCATTTCTGGTGTCACTCGTCCTGATATTGCTGGAATATTGCTAAAAGCCGCGTAAAACTATACTCAATCAGTCATCCCTTAAATGGTTGATAATAGTATCAGTGCTTCAGACTGTTGAAAAGAAAAGAAATTGTCTACAACAAAAGAGTCATTGTTACAAGACAGTATAAAAATAATATCTTAGCTCAGAAAAAGAGGTAGGCTTGCCATACAAAATTAAGCTTAGAATTCCATACAAAGTCTCTTCGGGGTCCCTTCATGTAGAAATATCAAGTGCTCAGTCTCATAATTATGGGTCCCTTCATGTCCAAAGTACTGATCTCCCTCAACATCAATTGTCTACATAATTATTCTGTAAGTTCAAACAACATCCTTATCATGCTTGATGTTGGAAGCAAAGTGTTTCAAATGAAATTTTGCTAAGTATGCTTCACCATTACATTAATGAAATCTTAACATTTTAAAGAACATGTTGTTTCTATGATATTTTGTACAGAAGTGAGTGAGCATCGTAATAATAATTCCCTCTGTCGGCTGTCCATTATGCTTACTTGATGACCCCCGGAAAATCCACTGATGTAATAAAAACATGACATATTTATATCGACAGCCTTACCACCAAATTGTCTGCCATGCATCATTTTGTTGACCTTGTGTACCAAAATCAAGAAAAAACCAAGTGTGTTTGCCTCCTTTCTTGACTGGGGCGGTGGGGTAGCCTAGTGGTTAAAGCGTTGACTCGTCATGCCGAAGACCCGGGTTTGATTCCCCACATGGGTACAAAGTGTGAAGCCCATTTCTGGTGTCCCCCGCCGTGATATTGCTGGAATATTGCTAAAATCGACGTAAAACTAAACTCAGTCAGTTATTTCTTGACTTGATGCAGTCGTCCATCATACAGGGGATATACTTAGCTTAAATGTTACAGCTTTTACTCATAGGAAGCCTACAGTGCTGATCTGGGTAGGAATTGATCTTTAGCAACACATGCTTGCCCTTAGAGTTGACTAACAGGAGCGAGTTGTCAGACGTGCTGACTTGGTTGACACGTGTAATCAGTTCCCAATTGTGTAGATCGATGTTCATGATGGTGATCACTGGATTGTCTGGTCCAGACTCAATTATTTTCAGACCGCCACCATATAGCTGGAATACTGCTCAGTGTGCAGCATTCGACATTAATGTCAGTCCTTAGGCCCAAAACTGACCGTAAACCACTGGGACCCACAGCTTTTGTTTTCTGCAGGCCCTTATGGCCGACAGCTTTTTCATCCCCTGTAACTAAGAGTATTATTTCCATATTAAAGTATTGGGCCTACACATTCTGATCACGACCCACAACTTGTTATGGTTCTGGGTCCTAAGAGCCTGCATGTTTTCAGGGTTAAGGGCAAACACTGAGTGTGGCATTAAACCAGACCAAACAAACATACAAAGCCCAGTGGTGATGTCCTCTGCTCTGCTATTGGTGAATTTGCAGAAAACTGTTTAAGAAAACACAATATTTATTGCTTACTGCCTCATATTTTATGGATGAAATTCTTATAAATATGTTGTGACATTTATAACTCCCCCAAGGGATGAAGAGGGACTGGGTCAGTTTTATAAGATAACTGGTAGAGGTTTCCTTCTCATTAATCACCAGTACACTGGGGCTTGCCAAGACATGAAGTGATCGATGACTTCTCCATTTGTGATCTAGCACATCTAATGATTTAGTTTGTGTGTGTGTGTGTACTGTTATTTCTTATACACAACTAAAGGGAGGTTCTTTGTTTTATGATACTGTTTCTGGAAATAATGCTACTATTGCAGAAACAGCTTTAACATAACTATGAACAACCAGAATTCTGCCAAACACTTAACAGAACAGGGCCCCGTTTCACAAAGCTCTCGTAAGCCTAAGGTCTCGTAACCTTTCTCGTAGCATCCGCACCTCCTATACGCTAACAAAGGAAGTACGAATGCTACGAGAAAAGGTACGAGGTCTTAGGCTTACGAGAGCTTTGTGAAACGGGGGCCAGAATTTTTACTCCATTCAAACACTTCTGTGAAAGCCTGACAGACCATCCATAGGTGTTGTTGAATTCAGTCTCATCATGATTTTAAGTTACATTGTATATTAATAGAAACTACTGCGGTAATCTAGACTTGGCATATTGTAGAGTTGCTTAAGCTGCAGTAGGTATATTTGTTTCAGGGGCAGGACCAGAGTGAACTGTGTGAAAGCAAAACACTGTTGACGTAAATCTGTAACTGGATGGAACTAAACAGCGTAATTTAAAATAATAGACGAGCTGATACTTGTATTGAAAGGTTGCATGGTGGACACGAGTTCCCCCAAGATATAGCCAAGTGGACTTAAATCTATCATCATGTTTCTTTGTTCTATTGTACAGAGCCATCTGAATCAAAGTCGAGAACAAAGATGAAGTTTTGTGATGCCAGGATCTGCTGGTGTTTAAGTGCTACATTAAATATGATTAAAGAGATGGCTGACTGTGTCGTCTTTTGTTCTTGTATGAGTGAGGTGAAGGTGAAATAGTACCAAACAAATAGGAGCCATATGAAGAAACTGAATTAAACACAAACGCGTGCGCCAGCGGGAATAACAACTATTTGCATCATTGTAAAAACAGAACATTTCTGATGTCACTTGCTGCGATATTGTTGGAATATTTTTTTAAGCAGTGTAAAACCATACTCACTCATTTAAAACATAACAAATCGTCTGCGAGATCACTAACACCTAAAATAGTAATTAAAACGTTTAGTTATACAACATGTAAAATTACAAGTCATCCCGGCTACAGTTTATGTGTGTCTAACCGCCAGGCATAGACGGACATAGCAGCAGTGGGCCAGACGTCATCAAACTTGACGTATGAAGCACAGGAAATCACTTAAATGACCATTTACGACAGGAAATAATATTTCCTGGTTGGTTTAAACCCAGTTTACGCACCCTCGTCTGTATTAAAACATAAAATCCAATTCAACTGCAATTACAATCAAACGTTGTGTGAAAGTTGAAAGAACTTACGTAAATTCTTTGAGTTATCCGAGGTTCTACACAACCGTAAGTTCAACTCAACGGCCATTTGTATCCCATTAACTGTACTAATTGTGTCCAAATGGCAAACGAGAATATAGCAGACGACATGTTTCAGGTTATCTTCATCACGTGACTGGCTTATGAAGACCCGAGGGTTGTAAGATACTACAGGATATAAAGCATGAATATATTGGCTCACTTATTGTAAATACATTTTGGGGAATTATGTCATCAAATCATCCACATTTGAATAACTAAATGAGCTCTGCAGACTATTCAGACCATTTGTTATTGTGAACACTGAAGACAACGCACACACATCTGACATGCTAGCTTTAATTCAGAATCAACTTTTATTGGGCACACAAAGTAATCTTTTTACATGCAGAAATTATATTATAAATAAAATAATTCTAGGTTGGTGTAAATGTTGCGTTTTGACTCGCATATTCAGACTGGTGTCTTGTTAATGCTCTTAAATATACTGAGGAAAACAAATAAGGGAACACCATTTCGTGTCAGTGTTCCTTTATTTATTCTCAGATTTTCACCCACAGCGCTATTCAAAGCTGGTGAGGAAAACTGGAAAATATTAAAGGAACACTGAAATTTTCCTGTGTTCCTTTATTTGTTTCTCTCAGTATGTGTATACTATACATGTAAGTCTAACCACACTTTTTGTCGAAGAAAGTGGTTCAGTTTTTTATTACAGAGGTGTAGCTACCATTTAAAAAACGCCCGGGCTTACAGATGATACTTGCTAAAGATCACCTTGAAAGTTTGACAAGCCTTTACTACTATCTAAATACATATATAAAGCTTTGCAACCTATCGGGCTTACACGAAAACAGTGGCTTGCTACACGGTTGGCTGATCATAAGATCACGTTCGAGACAGTTTCAAACGTCTGCATAAATGTATTGGAGTAAGTGAGTGAGTTTAGTTTTACGCCACTTTTAGCATTATTACAGCAATATCACGGCGGGGGATACCAGAAATGGGCTTCACACATTGTACCCATGTGGGGAATCGAACCCGAGCGAAAAAAATGTATTGTAAAGGCGTGTTGATTTAAACAGAAAAAAAACATCATACGTCATATGCATAATTCTATGGAAATAATATAAGTAATACGTCGTCAGTTATCAAATATTGGATGTTATTATGACAAAAGGAATTCAATATTCATATTTGGACATGCACATAGTCTTACAAAGGTGTTATGTCATGTTCAGAGGAGCGGAAGCGTATACAAAAGGGAACCAAGAGGAGGGCCAGGATACAGCTGTCGTGGCTCTAGCTACAAGACGGCATGTTGTTTGGCGGTGCCGTTGTCGCAGCTGTATTTCCGACCGATCACCGTTGCAGACAACAGCGGGAGATCCAAGGGATTGTTGGTGTCGAGAGTGCCGTTCTCGAAGCTCAACTGCGTCTGCGCAAGGGCGAGACTTCCGTTGTCTGACATCAGCACTTCCGGGAAGAGGTAGGGTGTGCTGAATGTGCCCCATATGGTAATGTTGGAGAAGATGGACCTGGCATCTAATGTTGGTGAGCCGCAGCTTGAATAAGACGAATTGGCACATTTAAGCACTGTGCATATTTGATGGTAAAAGTGCCCCCGGTATGTGTGTAGGCCATCAAATGCGCCAAGTGCATACCTGTCACCTTCATGGATGTTGGCCGTGTACTTGGCGTGGCAACAGAGAGCGTTATGGCAAACCTTGATTTCGTCAGCGTGAGAATCTCGAAGGGAAACAAAGTTAAACAAATCATGGAAAGCGTAGGACTTAAATTCAAACTGGTCCACGCTGAGCATCCTCGAATCTGGTTTGCTTTGATCGTTGCCAAGGCGACGTGTAGGTTTATCCAGAACCTCAATGTCCGCAATTAGGAGTTTTCCACCTCCAGAGCCGACAGTGTCGTTGTAATAGTATACTGCAGCGCCGTCCGGTGTGTAAATGCCGCTGCCGTGAAACCTATGCCGATGGATGTTTGCGGCCAGGAAGTTCACACCCATCCCCATAGCGAAGGCTGAATGGAACTCCACTGCAGCAAAGAAAGGTAGAGCATCAAACCATGCTGTGGGGAACACGATGTTGCCAACGCCGAGGTCGTTAACGAGGGAAGTGGCTGGCTTCTCGAACAAAATATCATAGCAGGTGAACACGCCAAATTTGCCAAACGGCGTCTCAAACACGATGTTTTCGGCTTCAGATGGTTCGTCAAATTGGTATTCGTAGTAAAGGTGCGTTTTGTGGTACCTAGCAATGAGTGTACCGTTAGGGTCGAACACAATGTCTGTGTTGTATTGGTAGTGACCAACAGAGGGGCAGTGGGAGTCGTTCTGGACGGAGCAGGGTTGCATATCGCCGTAGTTTGCCACCAGGTAGAGGGTGTTGTTACGTGCGATGCAGCTGAGACGTCGTTGGACGTCAACGTTGGGTATGTCTGCGGAGGCCGTGCATGGGTTCCATGTCACGTGCTTTGGGTCAGGAATGGTTTCCAGAAAAGGCCTTATTGTTGTCCTCCCGTGAGCTGTGCCGTAGATTCCATCTTCAGGGGTGACCAGAATATCAACATCCTGCAACGAATAGAATCTAAATAAAGCTTCATATGTTAACGATTCCATATGACAATATGTCGTTATGACTACGGTGTCAGTATCTACACCGAAACATGGCCTTATGGCAACATGAAAGACGTTGTGATATTCAACAAATGTTGTTAATTTTGAATTGACTGATGAATAAATATATTCAGTTAACTACGTTTTCAACGAACTCAACGAGACCACTAATTGTAGTTCATTACCACTAGTTCTTTACACGCGTATAGTATAGTGGCACTGACCAAGGAAACAGTTCGTTATATCCACCATTTCGCTATACGCATGTTCGCTATAAACGTGGCTTACGGTACACTACACGCCAAAAGAAAGTTACCCTCCAACTTTATGAATTACTGAATCACCGAAAAACTATCAAAGATATGTCAGAAGGTATTAGTTTACAAGAAAACTCAGCAACACAGCTTTTTGCAAATCACTAAAAAGAAATTTTAAAATGCATTCATATATACGTGAAATGCATCCTTTTCAGAAGAGTTAAATTGTCCTATTTTCGTTCATTCCAAAATCAACAACAGTGATTTAGATTTCCGAAAAAAGGTTGAAATATAAATCTGCTTTGAGACAAAGATAAACCATTTAAAGTCACCATTTTTCAACTATTAAAACAAGAAACAAACTGTTGTAGAGTGTGTAAAATTGTTAAATAATCATTCCTATGATTTCAATCTTTTAAAATATTTTCTACTGATTATCATCAGTGAAAACAAGTAAAACGTGTCTTTGGAATTGTGAAGAAGTGTTTAGGAACATCTAAAATTATCTTTGTTAACATTTGTGCTTGCAAAGTAATATTTTTCCATTTTCTGTGTAGACATAGCAATATCAATCGCCAAAACGCAGCAATATTCAAGCAGTGTTTGCATCCATTTCACATGTAGAATGATTCTGTGGGGTATAAAGAGAGACTAGAATGCATGATGTGATACACAAGTACGAGAAATATGCCGCGGTTAACAGCTGAAGAGAGAGAAAGCGCCATTGGGATGGTGCAGATGGGGTCGACGTACAATGCTGTTGCCAACGCCTTCGGATGCCATCGCATCACGGTTATAAGACTTATTCTGGGCTTCAGTCAGACTGGGGTTCCCGTAGACAGACCAAGAAGTGGACGTCCACGCATCACAACGCCAGCTGAAGATAGGTACCTCCGTCACTAGGGCAGGAGGGTAACGTTTCTTTTTGCGTTTAGAATATTTCATAACCATGTGTTATTTATTGTAACTATTATCATTGCTTTCATTTAGGTATGTCTGGTGCTGAAGACCAAAGGTTAAAAGGCCAATGGTTCCTTGCCTAAACCAGATATTAATCAGTACTTAATGCTAGTACCTTGCTAAGATGAAATTAATGAAGTAACTATTACAATGTCATTGATTCGATTAAGATTCGTGAATTAATTAATGAATTAAGGATATACTGAAGGACATTAATGATATCTTGAAAAGAATTGCTGGTTTAATGATATCATAATATGATTTAAAAATATGTACACATTCATGTTTTTAATATCTGTAATTCAGTTCCTGGTACCTTGCAATAAAATACAGATATCTTTAATTGAATTGAACTGAACTGAAGATATCTTGAAATGAATTAAGACATAGAAAAGAATAGAGTTAAGTTTTGCTGTTCTTTCCTGTTTCTTATATCATCATGTATATCAATCATTGATTTGAAAATATCTTCAAACGTATTTAATAATATTTTTAATTTGACTTCGATATCAGTAACGGCCAGAATTGAAGCTACCCCTAACTGAATTGAAGATATCTGTATTGCATTTGTGGATATGTGTAAATTATTTCATATTTGATATTTTTACATTTAGAAATATTATCACGAATATGTTTTTGATATCTCAAAAACATTTTAAGACATCAGTCATTTTATTTTGGATATCAGAATGTAGTATAAGATATATAGAGATTAATAACCGAGCGTGTTTCCGTATCATTAATATCATATATACTGAGTCAAAAAAGAAACTTCACAAAATGTAATTGGAAAAATAATGAATAATTTTTCTCTGATGATACATCTGCGTATCCGAAATGGGATCCCCATCCTTCGACTCTAGAAAAACGTTAGCAAAACCCACTCAAACCAATCCATTCGTCGTGCAAATGACGTTAGTGCCAAATCAGGTTTTGCACGTGCAGTCGATCACGTGATCTTCGTATCGAAGTTTTCTTCATATGCACGTGTTTGCATTGGCCTCAAGAATTGAAAAAACACTTTTAAACCACAGTTCTAACGGTACTTGAAATGCCACGATTGTCAAATGTGCAACGTGAACGTGCCGTTGGCATGTTGCAAGCGGGAAGATCAGTTATTGACGTCGCAAGAGCAATGGGATGCAGCCGTCGTACTGTGTATGACTTGCGAGGTCGTCCACAACAAACTGGCACCACTTCTGATAGCCCAAGGTCGGGTCGTCCACGTGTGACGTCACGAGCAGAAGACCATCAAACCATCTTACGTCACCTACGTGACAGATTTCTGCCGGCTACACGAACCAGGGCTGAGATGTTTAGAGGTCGACTGTCCTCACAGACCATTCGAAATTAGTTGCGGGCTGCCAATCTCCATTCTCGACGTCCATATCGTGGGCCAATATTGACGCCGTTTCATCAACGTCAACGTCTGCTGTGGGCCCAACGTCACCTCCGATGGACCCAGAGAGACTGGAATCGAGTCGTCTTTAGCGATGAATCCAGGTTTACCCTCAGATTCGCGGACAGCAGGCATAGAGTCTGGAGACGACGTCGTGAACGGTATGCCCAATGTTGTGTACAGGAAGTCGACAGATTCGGGGGCGGAAGTTGCATGGTGTGGGGTGCTTTCTGTGGGAACAACCGTTTCCGACTTCTGGTCATCCGTGGAAACCTCACAGCTGCTGCTTACCGCGACCAGGTGCACAGCTCTGAACTCGTTCCTTTCATGGCGGCTCATGGCCCAGGTCTACAGTTCCAGCATGATAATGCTCGGTCGCATACCGCGATGTTGACACGAAATCTCCTTGAAAACGCTAGAATCAACGTCATGGACTGGCCATCGAGGTCCCCTGACCTTAATCCAATAGAGCACGTTTGGAATGCACTTGGGAGAAGGCTTCATGGTCTTAGGAACCAACCTCAGAATTTACAGGAACTTGGCGCTGCCTTGCAAGAGCAATTGCGCAGAGTCCCCAACCACTTGTTCACAAGCATCAGGCAGTCGATGAGGAGACGGTGTTTGGCAGTGGTGAATGCGCGGGGCGGCCATACACGATATTGAACTGAGAAATTTCGAATTTTTATTCTTGTGACTTGACATTCTGTATACCCATTTTTGGAACGGCGGTGTAGCCTAATGGAACTGATTATGGCACTGTCAGTGTATCGAGTACACCGCACAGATCTCAGCAATGAAATAATAACAATTTAACCATCTTACCATTTCTTGTTCTTTTATAGTGCCCTGAAGAAAGAATGTGAAGTTTCTTTATATGATATTAATGATACGGAAACACACGAGGTTAATACTCTCTTTATCATATAATGTCATTCTTAAAATTATTATAAAAAAAGAAGCAACTCGTACGTGAATTTATTTGAAGAGAATCGAGCATTCGCGTAAGAATACTTAGCGGTACACCAAGGTGAAGGTCGTTCATGACGGCGTCATATGGTTGTGACTAGTCGCTAATATAGTGCAAACGTAACTCGTGCTTAAAATAAGATCTTTCTGTCTTCAAAAGAACAACAAAATCGGGCACTGTTTTCTTAGCTGTGTTTCTAATTTCATTGCGGGTAATCACCTCATCAATATCAGTTTCTGATACCTGACGGAATCGATTCGTCGTCTGTATTGTGATCGATAGATGACTGACTCACTGAGTTTAGTTTTACGCCGCTTTTAGCAATATTCCAGCAACATCACGGCGGGGAACACCAGAAATGGGCTTAACACATTGTGCCCATGTGGGGAATCGAACCCGGGTCTTCGGCGTGACGAGCCAACGCTTTCACCACTAGGCTACCCCACCGCCCCTGATCGATAGATCAAAATCCTTGGTTGGTACCTTTCTTAGACGACTGCCTTTCATTGGTGCCTCATAGTCCGTACCTTCAATTTGAACGAAGTTCTCCGTTTCATGTTTTCCAAAGTCAATTACTGCAGTAACGACTCCAGAACCCCTGTCATCAATTCTTACAGAATATCCAATTTTGAGAATAGGGGCAGCCATGTTTGTTTACAAACAATGTTAACGTTATAGGATTCGCATGGCGTGTATGGAGTTTTGTGAAAGTAGTTCCTGGATTGACGTAATTTGCATAGTTATCAGGATACCAAGTTTATCACATTGCTTTATTGCACCGATAACACCTTCCATTAGATGATAACTTCAAATATTTATTGATATCTTTAAATAGAATACAGACAGTTTTTATAAAAACAATTGAACATGTCTTTAGTTTCTTATTGACAATCAATTAATGTGTCACCGTTATTACAAAATACTTAATACAGTAATGTATTTTTGAAAATAGCTTTATCAAACAATGCGATGCCCCCTTTCAGCCGGCGAGATTAAGCGTGTAACCTTTAGACTGTACTCTACCAGCTATGTTGGTCGACGTCAGGTGAGTATACAGTATGTGCGCTGCACTTGACTATCTTGGGATTATTATCACAATTCCATCGCGTCATACAACTCCTTAAAATCTCGTTGCATTGGTCGCGTTACCACATTCGAGGCTCAATAAATTTGTCCAAAAAAATTATGGAAGACGTGGAGGACATTTGCAAAAATGAAATATCAGTCGAGTTTGTTCTTTTTTTCAGCTGAACATTTGACATGCACTTTGCATGTGTTTGTGAAGAGTGGCGGGGCAGGTACGCTTACATTTCGCAAAAGCCTAGCATCATAAATATTTGATAGTGATTCAGAGACACATGTCTGTGACACAGGATCTCAAGGAAACTTGTTTGTTTGTTTGTTTAACGCCGAATTTCGGAATATATCCCAGCTATATGGCTGCTCTCTGTAAATAATCATACCCGAAAAAGACAATCCAGTGACCGACATTATGAGCATCGACCTTCGCAACTGGGACACGATGACATGTGTGAACCAGGTGAGTGAGTCTGACGACTCAGTGGCGTTAGTCGCTTCTTATGACGAGCATGGGTTGCTGAAGACCAATTCTTGCCCTGATCTTCACGTTGATTTGTTTATACAGAAGTGGCACTCTGATTTAGAAGTATCATTTAAGGGTAGATTCTATAAATCTATTAAACTTAATACTGATATTGAATTCTAACTACAACATTTACCTGATAAACATAAAATTGCCCTAACATTGTTTAGATTATCATGTCATCGATTACCGATTGAGACTGGTGGATGGTACAAAACTGATATTGTTGATAGAAAATGTACCCTATGTGTTTCAAATGATATTGGGGATGAATACCACTACTTGTTTAGTTGTAATTATTTCAACGATTTGAGAAAGAAACTGCTTCCAACACTGTACATCAAGAGACCATCTGTATTTAAAATGATACAGTTTATTTCAAAGTAAAAATGTCTCGGATTTGATTAAACTGTCGACTTTTTGTCGCTCCATATTATGCAAGTTTAAATAGACTTTATGTCGCCGTTGCTTACTTTGCATGACCTCTGTAAACCCTCATTATGCTATGCCCGGTAAACGGAGGTTAGTAAAAAAATAAAGAACCTGGCCCAATTGGAAGCTGCTTTGCACGAGGAATTGCGTAGGCTGCCCCCTTCAGAGGATCAGGAGGTTGACAGGGGGTATAAGGAGGAGAGTGCTGGCTGTCATATAGAGGTTACACTCGCTATTGACCTTGAATCGTGTAAGACACGCAAAATGACATTTTGAATGTTTACATTCACCAATAAATTCAACCGTAAACATTTCAGGTGCATACTTGTACAGACATGGTTTGCATGAAAATCAGTGAATTTATTAAAATGAACAATTATCATCATAAAATCAACATGGATTCCAATCGTTTTGTCATTTTTTTATGAGTCAAAGGATCATACGGGTCAGAAAAACTCATGTTTTTCCATCGTGGTCACCACGATAGGTTTTATGTACGTGTTGAAAACCTATCATTGTAAAAATACAGGGGATGGTTAATTAAGTTCTTTGTGTATATTTGTCGTTGGGTGTTCAAAACACAACTACAATTGGCTTACATGCTGGAAGAGACTGTCCAGCGGCCATTTGGGTTGCTTTTACATTTTTGTCAATTTAAAGATCATGCAAGTATATATACTAGGCGGGTTGGGGAAGGGCAGTGCATGTGTGGTCTTACAGTGACGCTATGATATCTTGTTTACCGATATCACTGGTAAATATGCTGACAGTATTATAGAGGTTTAACCTCAACCGACCGACAGAGTAATGGCTAATAACGGGATCGGGTGGTCAGGCTCGCTGACTTGGTTGACACATGTCAATATAGAACAAACTTTATGGATAACAACTTCTTTTTATTCGTGAGTGCGACGTTTCGATACAGATTCTTGTACCGTTGTCATATCGTTTCGATACAGATTCTTGTACCGTTGTCATGCTTGACAACGGTACAAGAATCTGTATCGAAACGTCGCACTCACGAATAAAAAGAAGTTGTTATCCATAAAGTTTGTTCTATATTGTACTTCCCAACTTCTAAAATGCCACTCAAAGAAGTTGACACATGTCATCGGTTCCCAATTGCGCAGATCGATGCTCATGCTGTTGATCACTGGATTGTCTGGTCCAGACTCAATTATTTACAGACCGCCGCCATATAGCTGGACTATTGCTGAGTGCGGCGTAAAACTAAACTCACTCACTCACTTAGTTCGTGATAACCGTAGTTCGTAATATGTATTTGCACTAAAACATACAGCAAATGGCCGCGACCAAAAACGGTTTGTTACATCCGTCAGTTCGTTACATCCGTCAGTTCGTTATATCTGTCAGTTCGTTACAAGCGTGCTCGTTAAAGACGAAGTTTACTGTACATCAAGTCAGTTTGAAGAGTCCTACCTGTGTTCGGGCGATTGCGGCTTGACGCTCGAATTCGGCCAAATTAGGTTCAACATAAGCCAACGCTTGTTCTCTGGATCTGACAAATAAGGTCCTGTTGGGAAGGCGCAAGGCGTGTTCAAGAACTGCGGCTCGAAACGTCCGTGACTCCCCCAACTCCACACACAGCAACATCGTCAGCGTGATGTATGTCCATCTTGAAACCATGACTTCGGGTTGTCAAAGGGTCGTGTTGATAACCGATTCCAATAAATTCTTCAAAACTATTTTGTAGATGGCTAAATGTCGTCGATGTAGTTGGGGGGCTGGCCGTTATCTGTTTGGGACTTTGGTAAACGACGGATAGGTTACGACATTCCCCGATGATGTGCTATTTTGCACGTATGTAATTGAAATCAAAAGCGGCGTCACAGGACCAAAAGCTGGATAGCAAACCATTGAAATAAACGTGAATACAGTAGGCAATACATGCCATGACCGGATTTACGTATGTTGGCAGATATTTCCTAACTTCGGGCATATATTTCATATGAATCTATACCTTTGAAACATATGCCCATCGTACATTTTCGTATGCACAAGTACCTCGTTCATGTATGCCATGACCGGATTGTCAAGTATTTTCAAACATGACTTGCAAAACAGATACCCCAGTAAATACATGATCATACAGTATTTCCGATGCATTCCTTTGCATTTCAATGGGTGCTGAAATTTCCGATTTCGTTCTAAGTTTACATGTAAATTTACGTAGGTGGAGAAACACATGTAAATTTTCAAATTTGCAAATGTTTACACACCTTAGATATTTATGTATCATACCGGATTTCATTGGTATGTATACGAACGGTTCATACGTCTTCATGTTACCTGTGCTCAAGCAAGATGATCATTTGTTTCCATCGTGTGAATTACTTTGTTCATGTAATTTCATTTTCATAGTAGGGTTGAAATCAACGTTCACCTGACCTCATTATTCTTATCATCAAAAGAGCCCGACTAAGAAAGCAATATTACGCAAGCTAAGATGGCTTATTAAGCTGCACTCGCTCTTGCTACCAGTACCAGTTACGCTTTGTGTGCGGTGTTGGCAGATCTTGTGAGTGGTGAACTTGTCTTTGCAAGTGTCCCCATCTGTCCCAACAGAATAGCACTTTATCTCTCTTAGAGCGCGGCCAAAAACGCTACACGAACCAATTCGTAATTTCTTAAGTCTCTTCGGCTCGCGCATCAGTACTGTAAAATAGTTTTTGGCAGTGCATAATTGGAATATTTTTGCACTGCATGTGACCTTTCTTAATAGTTTCACAATGCCTGAACCATATTTTTTCTCCTTCCGCTCAGTCTTTGCTGTAATAACGCCATACATGAACTTAAAGTTGTCCACATTTGTTTCATTAACACAAACGTATACGATAACAAACATTGCCATATCAAATTATATATTCTGTGAGACATGAAATGAAAAATAGTTTTTATCGTGGAGCTATTATGACCGGATAGCACAGGCGGGTGCGTTCTCTGAGTATACCATAGGCATGTTGGACCTCCGTGCCTTTTGTGAAATTCGTCTTGATTGTCCTGTTTAAATTGACGATCCATAAACCCAGGTTCCGAAAGACAATGTCACACAATTAAATTACATTTGTGACTTCATTCCATTGTCTGTTCGCTCCATTACTTTTCAGGAATGGAGCGATGTGTACCAGTTTCAAAATAAAACCTTAATTTTGTCATTTTGACATTTGATTTTGATAACAGAAATATTCCCAACACTTCGAATGTAATTTAAGTAGGGTAATATCCTCGTAACTCTCCATTCCTTAAAAATAATGTCCCTCTGCCCCTCCAGGGCCTCGTTATTTTTAAGGAACGGAGAGTTACTCGGACATTACCCTCTACGTAAATGTGATGTTTGCACTGCTGTAAATCTCCCTGTCGGAGAAGTCCTTCTAACAAGATATATATTCCGTTATTTGGAGCAGGCCTATGACTATTACGCCCCAGTGTTGCTAAACATCTTGCAGACCTTTAGCCTGACATAGACGCAGACCCGCATGTTCAAGTTCAGATCTGACAGGTGCCGAAAATATTGATTCCAACAAGAATGCAATATCTCAGTGGGTTATTGTTTTCCTAAGTAAGTGGAGTGCTTTCTACAACATTGGAGATAATGGTATCGCTGTCCTTCTGATACTCCCCCGAACGGAAGCTCTACCCATTAAGGGTACAATGTGTATGTTGCAGATTTGTATGGAATACTCTTAAGACTTAAGTAATTTGACCAGGATTCTTCGAACTTGCAACAGTCGTTTGAGAAGTTCAAGAGAGAAAGGGGTAGTGTGTGATGTATCTGACAGGCGTATATGGAGAAAGTTCGAAGAATGTTGCTGTATAAATACAATAATAGAAACGCCGGTTATGTTTGAAAAGTACCCTCAATCTCATAGCCAATGAGATTATTGTGAAAGATCGCAATATGTATCATCATAAACGGGCCCAGATGAAAGTACATGTCATTCATTCCCACATAATATACCTTTCACAGACACAGGACATGGTTGTTACAGGTAGGGCAAACACTTTCTTCTATAGGTATCTGCCGGTTTCACGTTGCATACATGTATTCAGATTATTGAGAAAAGTAGCGACGCATGTTGTCCTCCATCACGCATATAATTGCATAGATACTAGTACCCAGTGCTTAGGGATAGCACTGCAGCAACGTAATGAAATTTACGACATCGTATTTATTACGTTCTTACATAAGGAGAAATATCACACGGTTGTCATGGTAACGATAATTTGGCATACTATTTATTGTCTTGTTCTTTTATCTGCGATCAGAATTTAAATCAGTTTTGACGTGAGCATGTTAAGAGAAAAGAAGCTGTAAAACGAATAATAATGCCATCGAACCTATAGGCCTTTGTAAAAGCGAGTTTCAAGCGACCTACATAAAAAGCTCCATGATAAATATCTGCTAATCCGTGGCACGATTCCAACCATATCATGAGCATTTGTTTGTGAATCATAATCAAATAGTGATGCTACAAGGCGTCCATGCCGCGTCAACACACATGGAAACGCACGAGAATTGCAATACGGGCCCCTAAACCACTGATGCTCCGTGACCTGGAGACACATGTGATTGAGCGTAAGTAGGGACGGGTAGAAGACAAAAGACAAAATGGATACTCATGCTGTTATACTTTTGAATAATAAGTAAACATTCGTTCTTATAAAAGTATACTTTCCAGTTTCAACCAAATGTACATTCGAAGGATATCTAAATCCAGGTTAAGCTATTTGAATCATATTTACAATCAAAAGATCCAAACAATGGTCTGTTGTCAAAATATTTGGTTTTCCATATCTTGTCCCAATCTGTATCCAGAGACCATATAATAGTCTATTATATGGTCTCTGCTGTATCATAGTCACAGAACGATATTATTTCCACTTCCGCCCAGCCCTTACTGTAATGCTTACGCCCTATATGAAAGCATATCTATATATTCAGCGTTTGTTATAATCTGCAGAAAAACTCACTGCAGGGTTCGGGTTACAGAGTAAACATACCAAACACCCATGGCTGGCGGGGACCAACATCTTCAGTAACGTTTGCATCTGCCAATGCTTAATTCGCAAGTGGTGAGGCAATACGCTAATGAGGCTAAGGGTCCTGTACCATGTTTGTGAAATATCTATGATGCCTTATATGAAGTCTATAATCTAAGCAATCTAGCTATGCATGGCTTGAAGAAAGGCTCCTTTAGAATTTTGTTTGGTAAATATTAGCATTTCACTGACTTAATCATATTGGAAAACACATGGCAACCTGTACTTCATCGTGACTATGATTAAGATCATTGTAAAACAAAAGGGTTATTTCCTTTGAGTTAACTGAGAGGATTATTAATATTTGGAACTCCGGCCCAAGGTGATGTTATGCTGTCTGGAAACATAGCGTTTTTTTAATGCTTTGGTTGCACTTAATGATAAGTGATTGTTAAATGTACATATGTGTTTTTGAAGGATAATCTCGGTTGCTCAGAGACTTTGCACGTGTTTTCCCCCACTCTTTCCACACCCATCCTTCAGTTTTTATGTTTGTGACATGATCTGCACACTGATAATTGAAAACAGGTATATAAATAATAACTGTTTGCAATCTTTACCCAGTTTAGTTTTCCATGTATTTAGCAATTTTCAGTTTCTATTATTTTCTGGAAATTTTGTACGGAGGTACATTTAACAGTTTCACCCAATAACATTAAAGCATACAGATAATACGTTTCTGTACTTTGATAGATTAATAAGTTTACATTATATTCCATGATACTGGGATGCCAAAATGATTAACGTTCTTATAAAATGTATGACAAATCAGACAGCAAAAAGCACGAATTAAAAACACATGAGCAACATAAATAATGTCAGGCAGTAAGCTTTCAATAATTACTGAAACTGCTTAGTTATCTAACTTTATGCAGTCACTAGAGTTTTCTATAATCTACCCAAGAGATGGAATCAAAATAGGTGTACAGTATATTCCGTCGGGTAACTGAAATTTGAGAAAACGTCCGTATGGGACAATATCTGTGTTCCGAATAAAAAAGAGTCCATCCCAAGTAGTGGTGTAACAATTCATCTATATTATCGATGTTTGTATAGTCAGCTATGCGATACGAATGCATCAATACAAAACACATTTAGGTAATACATCAGGATATTTAGATCGCGAGGGTCCATGATACATCGATGTATCGCCACAAGAGACGATATACCCCGATACTACTTAAGTACTGCTTAAAGTTGTAAGGAGTATTTCATTAGGAATAGGAAGGGAGAAATCCTTCTCAAATTTAAAAACAAATTGAGCCTTATGGGAATTCGTATCTGTTACACGAACAAAGGAGTTGGTGTAGAAGTGAATGAGTGTGAACATGTTTCAAACTCTGTGAACTGTACAAAACTTGTCTTCAAGTAATTGAAATATTTTGTTGATGTTTGACACATAACACCATTTATTCACAACTATGAATGGTGCCTTAGCTTTGTTAAGAAAGAGAGCAAAGATAAGATACAATTTAGACTGCAGACTTAATTCTTTTTTCAATGATTCTGAATTCTGATATAAATTGCATTGAATTGTTTGTGAAAGAATTGGTGTAGAAACACAACTTGAAATGCTAAACTTTTATTAGATCAACAGCTCTTTAAGTGTGTGTGTGTGTGTGTGTGTGTGTGTGTGTGTATGTGTGTGTGAGTGTGAGTGTGAGTGTGTGAATGTAACACAGGTTTTAATGAATTTATAACTATTTCAAGTCACGATATGGCTGAAATATTGCCACTATGACTATAAAC